TAATAGTATTTTTAGAAATGTGTAACGTGCCATGATCCGTTGAACCAAATGGAGGCAGTGAGGCATGGCACAACCACCCAAAACAACTATTCTCGATCATTTCGCTGACCTGGACGACCCACGGGTGAACGCACCCGACGCCATAAGCTGGTGGGACATCATGCCATTGCCATCTGTGCCACCATCTCGCGGCGCCGATTCCGTGGTCCACATAGAACTCTTCGGCAAGAGGCAGCTGGCCTGGTTTCAGACCTTCCTGGAATTGCCCCACGGTATCCATCCCACGACACCTTTGGCGATGTGTGTTCGCCCGCCTGGACCCAGTGCAGTTGCAGAATAGCTTCGTGTCCTGGACCCAGGCCATCGCGAGTTGCTGCCGGTGAGGTGGTGGCCATTGACGGCAAGACGGCTCGACAGTCCTATGATCCGGCGGGGAACAAGGGGGCCATACACCTGGTCAGCGCCTGGGCCACGCAGAACAACCTGACCCTGGGCCAGGTCAAGACCGAGGAGAAGTCCAATGAGATCACCGCCATTCCGCAACTGCTGGAGATGCTGGACTTGCATGGCTGCATCGTAACTATCGATGCCATGGGTCTGCCAGCGGGGAGATCGCCCAGCAGATCACCGCGGGCGGGGCCGACTACGTGCTGGCGGTGAAGGAGAACCAGGGCCGGTTGCATGAGGGCATCCGAGACCTGTCCAGGGAGCCGAAGGCCTGGGGTTTTGACGGGGTGCCTTACGAGTTACGCACGGACCGTGGACAAGGGACACGGACGGTGGAACGCGGGAATGCGTGGACCATCACGGCGACGGACTGCCTGATATCTGGACCCCCAGGGCAATGGTCCCAACTGAGGCGGCCGTCAGGGTGGTGGGCCCTCGTCAAACTGGAGCGGGGTGGCGTAAGTCAGCCCCGCTACTCATCAGCAGCCTGCCAGCCCCAGCAGAACAACTCCTGGCTGCCATCAGAAGCCACTGGAGCATCGAAAACTCGCTGCACTGGACCTTGGACGTGACCTTTCGGGAAGACCAGTGCCGAGTGCGCAAGGACCATGGACCGCAGAACCTGGCCACGCTGCGGCAGATTGGGCACAACCGGTTGAAAAACGAAAGCCCTTGAAAGTAGGCATTCAGGGCAAGCGGCTCAACGCCGGATGGGACGAGGACTACCTGCGCAAAGTCCTCCTCGGATAAGACGCGATTGCCCTGGCGCCAGGGCCATCGGGTATCAAGCCAAAACAAGCCCTGTGCTATAGTCGTTGCTCCATACTGAAACGAGAGAAAATGTTCATGGATATAAGCACTGTGGCGATCCTGAGCCCCGGCGACATGGGTCATGCCGTGGGGCAGCGCCTCCGCGAGCACGAACTGGACGTGATCACCTGCCTGGCCGGCCGTAGTGACCGAACACGGAACCTGGCGGACAAGGCCGGCATTCGCGACGTCCGCACGATGGAGCAGCTGGTCGAGCAGTCGGACCTGATACTGTCAATGACCGTGTCCGAGGCAGTGCCCGAGGTATGCCGACAGGTCGCCGACGCGCTCACCGCCACCGGCGCCGCTCCTCTGTTCGCAGAGTGCAACGCCATTGCTCCGCAGCTGGCGCGGGACCTGGAGCCGGTGATCGTCGATGCCGGAGGGCAGTTCGTGGACGTATCGATCATCGGTGGCCCGCCGCGCACGGGCTACAGTCCCCATTTCTACGCTTCCGGGCCGGAGGCCGCGCAGGTCGAATCGCTGAATGATTTTGGTCTGACGGTGCTGAATCTCGGCGGCGAGGTAGGGCAGGCCTCGGGAATAAAAATGTGCTACGCCGCCATGACCAAGGGTTCGTGGGCCCTGTACACCCAGTTGCTGATGGCGGCCGAGATGATGGGCCTGACCGAGCCGCTGCTCGCCGAGTTCCAGTCGGGCCAACAGGCAGTGCTGCAACGGATGGAACGCGGCCTGCCGACCGTGCCGCCGCGATCGCGACGCTGGGTCAGTGAAATGGAGGAAATTCGCGATACCTTCGCGGGCCTGGGGATGACCCCCAGCCTGTTTGAAGGGGTTGCGGAAATGTATCGGTTCATCGGCAGCACTCCCCTGGGCGAAGAGTTTCCGGAGTCGCGGGATCGCGACCGCAGTTTCACCGACACCATCCGCCAACTGGCCAGCTATATGCCGCCGGAGGACGGAAGCGACCCCCGTCAGGCTTGACCATGACATTGCGCCGGCTTCCCCATGAACATTGCGGAAACGGGCATTGCGGAAACGGGTCAGGACTGGGCCGCCGTCGATGATCGACGCTCCCCGCACGATGTAGGCTTGGACGTGAGACGCGGTGCGTCGCAGGACAGGTTGGACCGGGCCAGGAGGGCTCTCGTGGCGCGCAAGACGGATGACGCTCCACACGGCCGGCCGTGCAGCGCGGAGAGACCGGGAACTACTGCGACGGCTTGGAGACATCGCAAAACGGTAAATTCGGGTTAGGAGACACGCATGGCCGAACCGGCAGCCACCAGCAATCAGCAACTCATGTTCTCAACTGAGGAATGGGGAATGGTGTCGAAAACGCAGATCGAACGCCCCACCGTTCCGGGCGACATGGACGAGGACAAGGGCGTCCTGGTGGTGTGGACTCGCGGCATGGCAGGTCAACCGGGTTCCGGATGGACCGCCAGGCACGCCATTTCGGGAGACGCCGTGCGCGATGCGCTGATCGCGGCTGGCCTGATACCTGAAGAATAAAACCGGCGGTGCACGCCCACCACCGGGGCGCACACTCCAACCGGGGAACGTGCGCCCTTTACCGCACCAACGAACTGACCGAACCGGATACTCTGAAGCACGATGCCCGCGGCGCTCATGGGCGTTCGCTGCGCCGCCGGATGGACCGGGGCCTCCTTTCGTCGAGTTTCGATTAACAGCGGAACCCGTCACGCGTGGGGTCTGGGGGCTATGGGACTTCGTGTACGGGCGAGGCCGTGGAAAGTGGTACCGCTCGCCCTGCCATGATGTCATTCAACGGGCTGGGCCATGCCCTCACGCGTACCCTTTTGCACGATCGGTCATTGCGAGCGCAGCGTGGCAATCCCGTCGTCGGAGGGATACTCGCTCAATTCAACGAAATCGCCACGTCGCTGCGGTCCTCGCGATGAAAAAGCGGGTACGCTGAGGAGCCAGGCCAAATTGACAGGCCTCCACGCGTGTCCCTACAATCGTCAAAATTCACCGACGCGCGCAAGGCTCCGACTCCTGAGGAGGACAAGATGGCTGAACTACTGGGGCTGGGTTGTTCTCACGGCCCAATCATCCTGACGCCGCCTGAGGTATGGTCCAAGGGCAGAGAGCGGATATTTGCCCGCGTACCAGGCTACGAGCCTCCGGCCCGCCTCCTGGACGAACTTGGAGAGGACAACGGACTGAGCCAGGACATCAGCGACCAGCAGAAAGTCGTCGATTCGTTCAGCGTACTGCGCGACCGTCTGCACGAATGGGAACCGGATGTGCTCATGGTTATTGGCGATGACCAGGCTGAGAACTTCCTGCAGGACAACCTTCCTCCCTTCTGCCTGTACACCGGCGCCGCAGTCGACGGTTACCCCTTTCAAAGGCCGGCGGCCCGGACCAACCTGTGGAACTCCGCTCCGGAGACGAAGTTCACGTTCCAGTGCCCAAAGGAGTTTTCCCGGGATCTGCGCAACCACCTGATCCGGGACGGCTTCGATATGGCGTCATCCAGCGCTCTGAAAGGTTGGGACTGGGGCCTGGCCCACGCCATCATCAACCCGCTGGTGTTCCTGGATCCTGAAGGCAAGTTCCCCCTGCTGCCCCTGTTCGTCAACTGCTACGGCGAAGAGGCCGGACCCGACTACCCGCCGCGGCCCACGCCCAAACGATGCTACCAACTGGGGCAGGGGATACGAAAGTTCCTGGACACCCGGGACGAGCGGGTCGCCGTGGTGGCGTCTTCGAGTTGGTCGCACAGTTTCCTGGCCCACAAGTTCCAGTGCCGGTCGATAGACATCGACACGGACCGCCGCTATCTCGAACTGGTGCGGGCTGGCAAGGGGAGCAAATTGGCGGAGCTCACTCCAGAGGAGATTCAAGATTCGGGAGACCATGAGATACTGAACTGGATTATCGCGCTGGGAATACTCGGCGACGTTCCCGCGAACATCGTCGACGTGCGGGAGTCCCACACGCAACTGGCATACCGCGTAGCGGCAATCTGGGACTGAAAGTTTTTACGGCGGTACTGCATAGGCTACATTCCGCCGCATCGGAGCCCGTTTCCGGTGCGGCGGTTAGTTTGGCCGGTATTTGAAGGGAGAGGGGTCAGATCATGGTTACAGTGCTGGAGCCACGAACCCAAACCGGACAGGGAACCGGTCACCGGAGTTGTGACGGCTGCCCTCGCTGCGAGAGCCCCGACAGCCCGACGTGCAATATCCCCCATCCAAAGTTCGCCAACCGGCATCCGGTGTGCAAAGTTTGCGGGCACTGCGTGCTGCGCGGCCAGCACCAGGACGACGCGTCGGACCTGAACGACCACCCCGGGTTCGACTCCGGCGGGCCGGGGTCAGCGGGCAGCCGAGCCTGAACTGAACGGCTGGTCCACGTCGCGATCTGATAGCGCGGCGAATTCCGGCGGGCGCATGGCGGAGATTTCCGCTCCGCCGATGCTCTCCCAAGGTGCGCTGCGATGACCCATGTCAGCGTGATACCGGACCGGTACACCAAAGGCACTTTCCCACCGTCGCAATACCAGGGACTGCAAGCGCCATCCTCGCCTGGGACCGTGATCGAAATCTGCGCTGACGGGGTCGTGCTGGACCTCTCGGGCGTGGTGCTGGACGGAGAGGCCGCCGGCGGGATTGGGATTTGGGTCCACGACTGTAACGACGTGACAATTATCAACGGTGTCGTGATCGGCTTTCACTTTGGGATATACGCCGACAATGTCACCAACCTGGTCATCCGAGGCTGCGTCGTGTCGGACAACACGAACCCGCTGGGCGCCGGCTGGCTTCCCGACATGGCTGCGCCGGTGGAGGAAGGATTTGGCGGCGGGATATATCTTTACCGAATCCGTAACAGCGCAATCGAGAACAATCAAGCCAACAACAATTTCAACGGTATTAGCCTGATACGTTCGGAACACAACCTGATCAGCGGGAACAACGCTTCGTACTGCGGGAACGTGGGCATTTACCTGCTGAAGTCCAGTCACAACGAGATTCTGCAAAACCGGGCCGAGCACTGCATCCGTTACACCGACCGCTTCTGGTGCGACACCGCCGACTCCGCGGGGATTCTCCTGGAGAACGGCTCCAATCATAACCGTGTAGTTGGCAATAGCCTCCGGTATAGCGGCGACGGGTTTTTCATCCGAGCGCACAACCGTGAACCCTCTGACGACAATTTCATATCGGGTAATGACGCCAGTTATTCACCGAACAACGCTTTCGAGGCGGGGTTTTCCTCGGGCAACGTCTTCGAGGACAACATCGCCAACTACTCCAACTACGGATTCTGGCTGGGCTATTCAACCAACTCGACGGTCAAAGGGAACGAAATAAAAGCCAACCGTTTCGACGGCATCGCCATCGAGCACGGACAAGACAACCGCATCGAAGGAAACCGTATTGAGGGAAACCGCTACGGCATCCGTCTATGGAGCGACCCCGTGCCGGAGGGATCGGCAAGCCCGGTATCACCGACGCGCCGCTACACCGTTTCAGGAAATCAGATCAGAGGCTCCCGAGACTGCGGCATGTTGGTCACTGAAGACCATGAGGTTGGCTTGAAGGAAAACAGCTTTGAACTAAACCGGAGGGACTACGTGCGCCAACCCGCTTAGCATGGACCGCCCCAGCCTGTCTTCCCGGTAAAAGGTCCGCGTCTCGTTTGAGCATTCTTGACGGCGGTTGCTCCGGTACTTATGCTCCATGCCGATCCTCGGGACTGGACCCAGCTCTCACAGACTTGTTCCTTTGCCTGGCGGTTCCAGTCGATCCGGAAGCTGAGGCCGGGTCACTCGTAACCCCGGTAGGCATGGAACCCGGCTCGGCGAGTCAACATGACGAGTGGCAGAACGTGTTGGGTGCGAGGACGAAAGGTTGCGGATCTTCCGGTCAGCCTGATCTAAACAATGGCAGGTACGAATGAGACTTGACGGCAAAGTAGCGATTGTAACCGGCGGCAGCCGCGGGATTGGACGCGCCATTTGCCTGGGACTGGGCGATGCCGGCGCCAGCGTAGTCGTGGCATCTCGCACCGACGTGGACCGGTCGGCCGGCACCGAGTACGAGCAGTACGGGTCGGGCGACATTCGCGGCACGGCAGCACAGATCACCGCCCAGGGAGGCACAGCGATAGCGGTCCGCTGCGACGTGGCGCAGGTCAAGGACCTTCAAGACCTGGTGACCGCCACGCTGGACCAGTTTGGCCGGATCGACATTCTCGTTTGCAATGCGGGCATGGACTGCGAGTCGCCGGTGGTGGACCTGGACGTTGATCTGTTGGACGAATGCCTGGCGGTCAACGTGCGCGGCCCACTGCTCCTTTGCAAGTACGCGCTGCCGTCCATGATGTCCCGTGGAGAGGGCGGCTCGATATTCTGCGTCACGTCCGGGTCCGCCAGGGCCTACCGGGAGGGCCGCGTCGGCTATTCGATGAGCAAAGCGGCGCTGGAAAGAATGTTTTTCAGCCTGGCGGAGGAGGTCCGGCCGCACAATATCGCGGTCAACGTCCTGGAGCCCGGACGGGTGGACACCTGGATGAATCGACGTGGGGACTGGCCGGGAACCTCCCACATTCCCATGGTCCAGCCCGATGCCCTGACCGCGCCAGGCGTGTGGCTGGCGGGCCAGACCGCCGAAACCCTCACGGGCGCGTTGGTGTCGCGAACGGAATTCGGCGTGACCTGGGGTCCAACGCAAGAGTAGCCAAGCTGTTCTGACCGCGACGAGTCGCGAATGGCGAAGATTACAGTGGCCGGGTTGCATTGGATGGTATAGGCGAAGCTGCCGGCGCAACGGGCTACGATGGGTCAACGGTGATTGGGCGGAAGGCTGGTAGAATATACGTGCGCCGGTGAACGGAGCCGCTGGTTTTTGCGGCAACGATTGTCATCGAACCCCCGGCGTCGCGCTTGGACGCGTTTCGCGCTGAGCGCTAATCCTTCCCTGGTCAAAGGAGTCTTTCCTCGTATGCCATATCAACCCCGTCAGCCCCGTACCCGCTCCGATAACCGCAAACACGCCCATAGCGCACAGATCAACCGACCGCAGCGGCACCCGGCCACGTGCGCGGACTGCGGAGACGCAACCACCGTCCCGTTCCGGCCGTCTGAAGATCGACCCGTATATTGCGCCTCCTGTTTGTACCTGCGGCGCAACGGAGTTTCCGCCCCTGCCGATTCTGCAAAAGGCGACAATTCAGCATCCCCGGTGGATTCCACCGTTGAAGACCAATCTGACATGGTGGATTGGGAAGCCGTGTTTCCCGGCATGGTGCTGAACCGGGCGACCCGTACCGCCATCGCGCGGATGGGCATATCCGATCCCACTCCCATACAGAAGCAGTCGATACCTCATCTGCTGGAAGGTCAAGATCTGATTGGGCAAGCACGCACCGGATCCGGCAAGACGCTGGCCTTTGCGGTTCCATTGGTGGAACAGTGCGAATCCACGATGCGGCGGGTACAGGCGTTGGTCCTGGTGCCGACGCGCGAGCTGGCGATCCAGGTTGGCGGCGTCACGGAGGAGCTGGCCAGATCACAGGGCTTGCACGTGACGTTGTTGTACGGCGGGCGATCGCTTGGTCAGGATCACAAGGCATTGCAGCGGGGAGCGCAGATCGTAATCGGCACGCCGGGTCGGACGCTGGACCATGTTCGTCAAGGCAGTCTGAAGTTGAACTCGGTGCGCTTCCTGGTGCTCGACGAGGCTGACGAGATGCTGGATCGGGGATTCGCCCACGACGTCGACGCGATCTTGAGCCAGACGCCCCGGCAACGTCAGACGACGCTATTCTCGGCGACCGTGCCGGACTGGGTGGCGCAGACCGCCAGAAAGCACCTCCACGATCCGGTCATGGTGGAAGTGGACGCCGATTTCCAGGGTCTGCCAACCGTGGAACATCTGGTTTACAGCATACAGAAGACGGACAAGATGGACGCGTTGCGCACGCTGCTGGACCGCCGGGACGGCGCGCCGATTTTGGTGTTTGGCAAGACCAAGCACGGCGTCAAGAGGCTGGCCGGGCAGTTGGACGCGTTGGGCTATCCGGTGGGGGCGCTCCAGGGGAATCTCAGCCAGCCAGCTCGCGAGCGCGTGATGAAGGACTTCCGCTCCGGAGCGGCGCCAATCCTGATTGCCACCAACGTGGCGGCGCGGGGCCTGGACGTTGAGGGCATCGGGCAGGTGATCAATTACGACCTTCCGGACTCGGAGCAACTGTTCACGCACCGAGTGGGTCGCACCGGCCGCATGGGTCGCGCCGGCGAGGCAATAACGTTCATTACGCCGGACGAAGACCGTAAGTGGCGCGAGATTGAGCGGGGCCTGGGTCACCAGTTCACGCGCAAATCATGGACCAGGGAACAGCGCACGGCAGAGCGTCGGGAGAAGGCTCAAGAGGAGTTCGGACTTGAGGAGAGCGCGGTGCGGGTTCGTCCGCGCCGGTAGAGCATTGCTGCTGCGGTCGCGCCGCCCTCGGCGTCTGCCAACGAAACCGACGGGTAGCCGCCGCAGCCTGAATTGGGCCTCTTCGCATCGGCCCCTTCCCAATCGGTAGTGAACCGCTGCATCCGTATTGTGCCTCGGGCTCCGTCAACTCGGCGATACGCACCGGTGCCGGCGCCGCACATCCCCGGTGTTTGGACGCTTCCAATTTGCGCGGCGGACCGGGTTGGTTTGGGCCAGGCTTCAGCAGCCCGTCTGAGGATTGGGGATGGGGCCAAAGGGAGCTGACGCGGGGTATGGTTGGCGTCCTGCCCTCAACGGTGCATTCCGCCAAATGGATTACGTCTTCATTACGGCAAACGTAATCGGTTTCGTCACCGCCTATGAATTCGGCTGTTCCCTCGCCCGGAGGCAAACCCCACGATGCTCGTGCGAGGTTCCGCACCGCGCGTTCAAAATCTGGGCCGGTCATGTTCGACGCTCCACGGGGCTTCTTTTTCCGTTCTGTGGAAATCGGCTGCGGTCACCTTGGAATTGAGTAACGACGCCCGTCGGTACGATGGACACCCTATTGAAGTGAACCCAAGCGCCCGCATTCGTTACCCGATGGTACAATCCACAAAGTCCAACTTGTCCAGCATCCACAGTCTTCCATGAGGTTCCAAAAATGAGCATCGACGTCGCAACTTCCATCGCCCGCATCCTCAAGCAGGAGGGGGTTGAGTGGGTTTCCACCTTCCCCGTCTGCCGCGTGAACAACGCCCTGGGGCGCGAGGGCGTGCCCATGATCATGATGCGGGACGACCGCTACGCCGTGGCCCTGGCCGACGCCTACTCGCGCGTCACCGGCGGCGAGCGCATCGGCGTCTGCACGGTGCAGGGCGGCGTCAACGGCGCGGGCCTGCAGTACTCCTTCCCCGGGCTGGCCCAGGCCTTCGAGGACAACTCGCCGATGCTGTGCATCACCGACGGCATTCCGGCCGGCAGCACGGAGAACACCCTGTTCGACGTGTCCACCAGCCTGAAGACCGTCACCAAGTGGTTCGGCTACATCGACCGGCCGGAGCGGACGCCGGAGTTCATGCGCCGCGCCTTCTCCATGCTGCGGAGCGGGCGACCCGGTCCCAGTGGTGCTGGCAGTGCCCAACGCGGCGGGCATCTACGATGAGACCGCCGACCCCTACTTCACGGTGCGCGGATACAAGTCGGCGCCGGACCCGTCGGACGTGGCACAGGCCATCGACCTGCTGATGGGCGCCGCCAACCCACTGATCTACGCCGGTGAGGGAGTCATCTACGCCGGCGCGATCGGAGCAGTTGGTGGGCCTCGCCGAACTGCTGAACGCGCCCGTCATCACCACGCTGAAGGCCAAGGGCGCGTTCCCGGAGAATCACCCGCTGTTCGTGGGCGTGCGAGGCGAGCATCCCATCGCGTACCTGAACAAGAGCGACGTGATCCTGACGGTGGGCAGCAGCCTCTCCCCCGGACGGTTCACCCACGGCATCCCCAACGCGCCGGGCAAGACCATCATCCAGTGCAATTTGGACGACCTGCACCTCAACCGCATCTTCCCCACGCACCACGCGGTGCTGGGCGACGCCAAGTTCACCCTGCAGGCGCTGGCCGACGAGGTGTCGCGGCGCACTGACGGCGCGGGTCGGGCCGCGGGTAACGTGGTCGCCGAGGTCCGCGAGACGCGGGACGCCGGCCTGGCCGAGTACCGGGAGGCGATGGCGTCCAGCGACACGCCCATCAACCCGTACCGCGTGTACGGCGACATGATGAAGGTGCTGGACCCGCAGAACTCCTTTGTCACGCATGATTCCGGCAACACCCGTGACCAGCTGAGCACGGTATACGACACGCTGATTCCGCGCGGCTTCCTGGGCTGGGGCAACATCTCCACGCTGGGGTTCGGCCTCGCCGGAGCCATGGCGGCCAAGCTGGCCTTCCCCGAGCGGCAATCGATTGCGGTCACCGGCGACGCTGGCGTGGGCTACATGCTGGGGAACCTGGAGGTTCCGGTGCGGCAGCACTGGGCATCACCATCGCCCACGTGGCCAACGGCGGGTTCGCCGGCTACGGCCCCGGGTTCTGGGGCGACGGTCACGACCCGTACACCCACCGCGTGATGGGGCCCGAGGACATCAATATGTCCCGCGCCGTCTCCGAGTTGGGCCTGTACACCGAACGGGTCACCGAGCCGTCGGACGTGATACCGGCCCTGGAGCGGGCGCTGGCGGCCAACGAGACCGGCCAGCCGTCGTACCTGGAGTTCATCTGCTCCCAGTACCCCCGCTACGGGGGCTTCGCGCCGAGCCCGGTGGCGCACTAAGGCTGGACGGCGACCCATGGGTACCTTCAACATCACCATCCAGATTGCCAATCTTGAAGGCGAACACTTCGAGGATATCGAAGTGATGGTGGACACGGGTGCGACTACGACAGTGGTACCGCGCTCCACGCTGGAAGGATTAGGGATCCGCCCGTCCGTCACGCGAACATTCGAGTACGCCGGGGGACAGCAGGTGCAGTTGGATATGGGCGAAGCTCGGTCTCGGGTGGACGGTCGCGAGACCACCACCTGGGTCATCTTCGGTGAGGAGGGGGCGTCACCGCTGCTCGGCGCGTACACGCTGGAAGGTGTGCTGCTCGGGGTCGATCCTTACAACGAACGCCTGATACCGGTAATTGGCTCGCTGAAATGACCTGGTCTATCTTCTTGCAAGGTCGTCGGTCCGACTGGAGGCAGTGAGAAATGCCCAACGCAGTCCTGGTGGTCGACATGGTGCGTGGCTTTCTGGAGCCGGGGCATAACCTTTACTGCGGCGACGACGCCCGCCGTATCATCGAGCCGGTGCGGGAATTGCTGGGCCGCGAGGCCGGGGCAGGATCGGCCATCCTGTTCATCTCGGACCACCACCTGCCCGACGACCTGGAGTTCCAGATGTTCCCGGTGCACTGCGTCATCGGGACGGAGGAGCCCGAGGTCATCCCAGAGCTGGCCGAGTGGGTCGGCGACGGCAACGTCATCCCCAAGAACCGGTACAGCGGCTTCTTCAACACCGACCTGGCCGAGCGCTTGGCCGCCCTCAACCCCGACAAGATAATCGTGTGCGGGGTGTGCACCGACATCTGCGTAATGCACACCACCTCGGACGCGCGTAACCGGGACTACGCCGTGGAGGTGCCCAGCGACTGCGTAGCGTCCTTCGACGGCGACGCCCATCGCTGGGCGCTGGACCACATCGGCAAGATCCTCGGCGCGCAGGTGGTTTAGACGGATCTTGAGGGGATCAGGCGCGAGCGATTAGAGGATCTCCGCTCCCGGTTCGTTGAGCATCGCCTGGCGCAGCAGCGGCACCGGCGGCGCGCCCCAGGACAGCGCGGCGTCGTGGAACCGGCGCAGGCTGTACGCTGACCCTTCCTGCCGCCTCCAGTCCTGCCGCAGCTTGAGCAGCATCAGTTTGCCCAGGGTGTAGTTCAGATAGCCCGGGTCGAAGGTGCCGCGCAGGGCCTCGCGACGGGCCGGGTGCTCCTCCATGTAGGCATGGGCCTGAAAGAACTGCGTCGCCTCGTCCACGGTCATCCCCTGCGTGTGCATGCCCAGCGAGCAGAGGTAGCGGCAGTTGCGGACCAGGGCCTCGAGGAGCTGGGTCAGCCAGAGGGCCGCGTCGTCGCGTCCGTACTCGGTTTCGAGCATCATCTCCTCGGTGTAGTGGGCCCAGCCCTCGGTGAAGGCGTAGGACGTGGCGACCCGATTGACCAGCGGCAGCCCTCCGCCATGGCGGTTGTGCAGGTTGTGGACGTAGTGGCCCGGATAAACCTCGTGGACGCTGATGATCTTCAGGGTGTGATAGTTGAAGTTGGTAAGCCACTCCTCCTGCTGGCGCGGCGTCCAGTCAGGCTCCACGGGCGTGACGTAGTAGAACGCCTCGGTGGCGACCTCTTCGAGGCCACCGGGCGAATCCATCGCGGCGAAGGCGTAGCGCATGTAGGAGGGCGTCTCGGTGACCTGGCAGCGCTCCTCCGAAGGAACGCCGATGATGTCGTGGTCGATGAGGGCCTGGCGGATGTCCTCCAGCATGTCCCGGGTCTCGGGTATCAGGCGTTCTGCGGTGGGATGGTTGACGGAAACCTGGGCGACGGCTTCCCGCACCGACTTGCCCGGGGCCACCAACGCGGCGGCTTCGTCCAGCCGGCGGAGGTTCTGCTCCAGGTTGGCCTGGCCGATGGACAGAACATCAGAAAGCGAGGTGTTCACCCCCTCGCCGACTTCCAGCATTCGGCGGTACAGATCGGAGCCGATGGCGAAGTCGGGGCGTGTTCGACGGTCCTGCAACCGCTGGGCAAACCCCGACACGGCGCCGGCGGCAAGTTCGCGGGCCGCGTCGAACTCGGCGGCGACGTCGGGAGCGATGGCGGCGCACTCGGTGGACGCGGCCGCAAGGCCGGTGTGATAGAACGACGCCATCCCGCGGTAGGCCTCGACCGCCATGTCCCGCACGGGTTCACCGAGTTCGGGTTCGGTTAGAGTTTCCAGCGTGGCCAGGAAATCCGGAGCCTGCCGGAGAACCTGCATAGCCGACCGGAGCCGGTCGGGCAGGGGCGCGTAGTCACGCTGCACGTAGCTGCCGACGCCGAGGTAGCCGACCTGGCGCTGCGGGTTGTTATGCAGGGTACGCATTTCCTCCAGGTTGAACAGCTCGCGCCGGAGAAACATGTCCAGCAGGCTGCGCGACAGGCGGTCCATCCTGGCCTCTGCGTCCGTACCGTGGGCGTCGTCCGCAGGCAGCGAAGAGAGCTGACCCAGCGACCGGTGCAGCTCCTCGACCCGGCGTGATACCCGGCCGGCGGAGAAGTCAGGCAGTCGGCCGTCGTATTCATGGCGGCCGATGCGGCTGCCGGAGGTGGGCAAAAAGTCCCAGTGCTCGCGTATCGCCCGTTCGGCGAGGGCGTCAACTGCCTGGTTCATGGCGCATCACTCCATGAGGCTCGGGATGAGAGCGGCGTTGATAGACGTGGGGGCGACCATCGGGCCGCCCCCACCATCTGCTTGCCAACTTGCGATCACGCAATCAGCTCACTGATGAGGAACTTGGGGCTGATGTCGGTGAAGTTAGGCACGTCGCCCACCAGCTCGCGGCCGTGGGTCTTGAAGCCCTCGTGCACGCCATCCACGTCGTTGAAGAACAGGTACCCGATGGCGGTATAAATGGGGGGAGCGCTGGGATCAGCATCGGAGATACCCTTCTCGACGTTGTAGTAGCGCATGCCGAAGGTGGTGAGGCGTTCCTGCACCATGGGCATGTGCGTGTTGCAGTAGTAGTCGAAATCGAAGGACTTGCCCTCTTCGTTTTCGTAAAAAACGGTTACCTTGATCATCGTAACGGTCTCCTGGTGAGGAATGGATTCCCGGACGCGCGGGAATGACGGTGCGGAATGGTCAGTGATAGACGTTGGTGCCGGCTCCGCCGCCGGCGGCGATGGTCTCGCCGCTGATGGCGATGCTGCGGGGCGAGGCCAGGAAGGCCACAACCCACGCCAGCTCTTCGGCATCAACGATGCGCCGGGTGGAGTTGCGGGCCGCGGCGCGACGCTCGATTTCCTCGACGGTGGTGCCTTCCCGTTGGGCCTGCTCGGCGTACATGGGGCCGCTGCGCTCGGTGCGGGTGGTGCCGGGATGGACCAGGTTGACACAGACGCCGTCGCTGCCCAGCTCCTCGGCCAGGTACTTGGTCAGGTTGGACAGGCCCGAGTTGCGGACGCCGGCGCTGAGGTTGCCCTCCGCCCGGCGCGCCGACAAACCGCCGACGTTGACAATGCGACCCCATCCCTGTTGCTGCATGTAGGGAGCAACCGCCCGCGCGCAGCGCAGGTAGCCCATGACCTTGGTGTCCAGGTCCAGCATGACGTCTTCGTCGCGGATTTCGGCCAGCGACCCACGGGCCAGACCGCCGGGAGCGGCGGCGTTGTTCACCAGGATGTCGACCCGACCACCCAAGGCCTCGGCGGCCTGGGCGACCATCGCATTCACCTGGTCGGTACTGGTCATGTCGGCCACGATGGGGATGATCGTCTTGCCGGTATCACCCGCAATATCCTCGGCCGACTCGGACAGGGTGTCGGCGTAACGGCCGGTGATCACGACACTACAGCCGTCGGCGGACAGCACTCGTGCCACCGCCTTGCCAATACCTCGGCTGCCTCCGGTAACGATCGCCGTTTTGCCATCAAGTTGCAGGTCCATACTCGGAGGTCCTCCCGGTCAAACTGGCGGCATTGTACACCAGGCAAAGGATCAGGGGGCAGGTGCAAGACCCGCCCCCTGATCCTTGTGAAGAGCGTCGTTTCAGTGGGCGACTAGCCCACCTGCACCGTGGCTCCTGCCTCTTCCAGCTTGGTCTTGATGCTGTCGGCGTCTTCCTTGTTCACGCCCTCGCGGACGCGAGTCGGAGCCGCTTCGACGAGTTCTTTGGCTTCGCGCAGGCCGAGGTCGGTAACCTCGCGCACGGCCTTGATGACGTTGATCTTGTTGGCGCCGAAGTCGGCCAGCGTGATGGTGAACTCGGTCTGCTCGTCGCCGGCGGACGGAGCGTCGTCGGTGACCACACCGGCAGCCGGAGCGGCGGCAACCGCCATGGGAGCGGCCGCAGAGACGCCGAATTCTTCCTCGATGGCCTTGACCAGATCGGCCAGATCCATCACGCTCATGCCCTTGATTGCGTCAAGAACTTCCTGGTTCACTGCCATGATAGAAGCCTCCTAATGGCTGTTTACGATATGGTTGTTTACGATTTACCGTGAGAAATGATGGCCGCTATTCCGCCGCGTCAGCCGGCTGCAACTGGTCCATCCGGGCCTGCAGCACGTAGGCCAGACTGCGAATTGTGCCGGTGAGGACGGTTGCCAAACCGTAGAGCGGCGATTGCATGGTGCCCAACAATAGGGCCACGAGGATGGGGCGGGGAGGCAAATCGGCCAACCGCGAGACCTCCTCGGGTTGCATGGCGGCATCTTGCCCGATCACCGCGCCATGGACCGCGAGAACGCCGGCGCTGGCCTGGGCAGCCTGGTTGACCGCCTTCGCCGTGACGGCGGCATCGTCGTAACCCAACGCGATGGCGGTCTGACCCGATATAACATCCTTGAGTTGGGGGATGTCCGCGGCGTCCGCGGCCCGGCTCAACAGGTTGTTCTTGACGACAACGAATTCAACGCCGCCGTCCAGCATCCTGCGTCGCAGGTCCACCATCTGATTGGCATTCATCCCGGAGTAGCCGGTGGAGATGATGATGGAACTGCGTTCCAACTTGTCCTTCAACTCGGCTACGCGATCGATTTTTTCCTGGGTTGGCAAGGTCTGCTCCTAGATTAGTACGGTCAAAAGAAATCCCGCGCTCCGAGACATGGGCGCGGGAGAAACTGCGCGCAATCAGGCTGGGACGCCAGCCGCGCAGTTGGACCACGTTGGCGCCGGAATTCTCCGGCGTATCGCCTCGGCGGGCGGCTGAAACCGCCATTATTCCCAATGGGAACCCGCTGTCTCGGGCATGGTGAGCGTATTCGATTGTGCGGGCCAGTCTAGCATCCCCTTCGGGGAATGGCAACGGGCCGATGCTGGCGAACGGTTTACTCGGGCTTCAACGCCTGGAGCGTCGCCACGTCAACCGAGATGCCGGGCCCCATGGAGGAAGTGACGTAGGCGGACTTGATGAAGGCGCCCTTCACCGCTTCCGGGCGCTCGCGCATGACGGAGTCCATGAACACCGTCAGGTTGTCCATCAACGAGTCGGTCTCGAATGAAGACTTGCCAAATTGCCCGTGAATGATGGCGGTACGGTCCGTCCGAAATTCCAGTCGGCCGGCCTTGGATTCCTGGATGACGCGGGGGAGATCACGGGCGGGCACCAGGGTTCCGGTGCGCGGGTTGGGCATCAAGCCGCGGCGGCCCAGGACCCTACCCAGTCGGCCGATCTTGGACATGATCTCCGGGATCGCCAATCCCACGTCGAACTCGACCCAGCCGCTTTCAACCTGGGCGATCAGGTCGTCGTCGCCCACGAAGTCGGCGCCGGCCTGACGGGCGATGTCGGCAGCCTCGCCGTTGGCGAACACCAGCACGCGCACCTGCTTGCCCAGGCCGTGGGGGAGCACGGTGACGCCGCGTACCTGCTGCTCGGCGTGGCGCACGTCGGCGGTGGTGCGCAGGTGGACCTCTACGGTCTCGTCGAACTTGGCGGTGGACAACTCTTTCAGCAGGTCGATGGCTTCCCTGGGCTGGTAGATGCTGTCCTCAGGTACGCGCTCCGCGACTGCACTGTAACGACGGCTATGTTTGGGCATTTTCGATTCTCCCTGGGAGCGTTTCGGGACCGACAGAGTGGCGGCGTCAGTCGTCTTCGACCCTGATCCCCATGCTGCGGGCAGTGCCGGCAATGATGCTCATGGCCTGTTCGACGGAGTTGGCGTTGAGGTCCTTCAGCTTGTCCTCGGCGATACCGCGGAGGACATCACTGGTGATGGTCACTCCAAGGGGGACACCGACATCGCCCTGACCCTTGTCAATGCCGGCAGCCCGGCGAAGCAGGTCCGACGCGGGAGGAGTCCGGGTGACAAAGGTAAAGGAGCGGTCCTGGTACACCGTCAGATGCACCGGGATGATGGTACCGGCCTGACTGCCGGTGCGCTCGTTGTACTCCTTGACGAAGGCCATGATATTGACGCCGTGCTGACCCAGAGCGGGGCCGACCGGCGGCGCCGGCGTGGCCTTGCCAGCTTCTAGCTGGAGTTTGATGACGGCCATTACTTTCTTTGCCACTAAAGGCCTCCGGTTGTCCTGATTTTATGCGCGGGGATCGGAGTAGGGCTATCGGGGACTGGGATCAGGCCTTTTCCACCTGGGTGAAGTCCAGCTCAACCGGGGTTTCGCGGCCGAACACGGAGATCAAAACGGTGACCTGTCCCCGGTGTTCGTCCACCTCCTCCACCCGGCCCAGCATGTCGGCGAACGGGCCCTCGGAGATCCTCACCGTGTCGCCGTGAACCATGCCAATGACGGCGCGCGGCTCGCCGGAGGCGACGCGATCCAGAATGTCGTCGACCTCACGGTCGTCCAGCGGGACCGGACGCGGGCGGTCTCCACCCTCTTCCTCAGCCGAAATGAAACCCGTCACCCCGGTGGTGTTCCGCACCAGGAACCAGGCTTCGTCATCCATCACCATCTGCACCAGGATATAGCCCGGGAACAGCTTGCGACGTTGCTTGGTCCGTTCACCCTTGTTGCGGGTGATTTCGTCTTCGGCCGGCACCTCCACTCGGGCGATCCGGTCGTCCATGCCCAAACTCTGACGGCGGAGGTCAAGGTTACGCTTGACCATGTCCTCCTGGCCCGTATAGGTATGGACGATATACCAGCGGAGGTCGGCGGGATATGTTGTGGTCATTGTTTCAATCTCAGTGGGCGAAAACAGGGCAAATTGAAGCTACGCCCGCGGCTCCCATCGATGCCGGTTCCCATCGGTGCCGGCTCCAGTCGATGCCGGCTCCATGAGCGGCGTCGAAGATCCGGTCGCGAGTTGCGGGCGGACCAGCCCCGGGCAGATCAGAAAGGCAGTTCCCGCAGGCCGATGATGAAACCCATGCCGAAGTCGAAAGCCCGGTCCAGCAGACCGAGGAAGAAGCCCATCACCACCGCCAGCACGATAACCACGGCGGTGAGGCGAGCGGTCTCCTCTTTAGTCGGCCAAACCGATTTCCGCAACTCCGAGACGGTTTCCCGCAGGAAACCGATCGGGCCGACTCTCCCCACAGCGCGGGGAGAGATCGGCGCCGGTCGTCTGGTCGATGCGCGGGCCACGGGAGGTTACCTTATTTCCCGGTGGACCTGATGGCCCTGGCAACGGCTGCAATACTTCCGCAACTCCATACGGGAGGTATGACTGCGGCGGTTCTTGATGGTCGAGTAGTTGCGCTCGCGGCAGTCCGTACACTGCAACGTGATGACCTGCCGGGCGTCGGTGGATTTACGAGCCATGGGATCACTCCAGCAATCGGGTGAACACGCCGGCGCCGACGGTGCGACCACCTTCGCGGATCGCGAAGCGGAGGCCTTCTTCGACGGCGATCGGGGTGATGAGGTTCACGGTCATGGTGATGTTGTCACCGGGCATAACCATTTCCACCCCGTCGGGCAGGGCAATTTCGCCGGTGATGTCGCTGGTGCGGATGTAGAACTGGGGCTTGTAACCGGTGAAGAAGGGAGTATGCCGACCGCCTTCCGACTGGCTCAGCACGTACACCTCGGCCTCGGCCTTCTTGTACGGGCGCATGGAGCCGGGGGCAACCAGGACCTGGCCGCGTTCGACTTCGTCGCGGTCCACGCCGCGCAGCAGCACGCCCACGGCATCGCCGGCTTCGGTGGTATCCAGCAGCTTGTGGAACATTTCCAGGCCGGTGGCCACGGTCTTGCGGACGTCGCCGGAGCGGATGATCTCCACCTCCTGGCCGACGTTCAACTGACCACGCTCGACACGGCCGGTGACCACGGTGCCGCGACCCTTGATGCCGAAGACGTCCTCGATGGGCATCAGGAAGGGCCGGTCGGTCACGCGGGCCGGTTGCGGGATGTAGTCGTCCATGGTCTGGACGAGCTGGCGTACTCCCGACATGGCCTCGGCGTCGCCCTCGAGAGCCTTGAGTCCGCTGACGCGGACGACGGGCGTGTCGTCGCCGGGGAAGTCGTAGGTGCTGAGCAGCTCGCGAACTTCGAGCTCAACCAGCTCCAGGAGCTCTTCGTCGTCCATCATGTCGACCTTGTTGAGGGCGACAATGATGAAGGGCACTTCAACCTGGCGCGCCAGCAGGATATGCTCGCGGGTCTGGGGCATCGGGCCGTCTGGGGCCGACACTACCAGGACCGCGCCGTCCATCTGCGCGGCGCCGGTGATCATGTTCTTGATGTAGTCGGCGTGGCCGGGGCAGTCGACGTGGGCATAATGCCGATAGCCGGTCTCATACTCCACGTGGGCGATAGCGATTGTAACGCCACGGGCTTTTTCTTCGGGGGCGTTGTCGATCTCGTCCATCCCGCGGAAGTTGGCGCCGCCCTCTTCCGACAGCACTCTTGTGATGGCGGCGGTCAGGGTGGTCTTTCCATGGTCAACGTGACCGATGGTGCCCACGTTGACATGCGGCTTGGTACGGTCGAAGACTTGCTTAGCCATGGTGGCGGGTTACTCCTTGCTTTGATTTTCGCTTCTGCCCGCGGGATGCCCCAGCGGGTTGCTGACGCCTGGAGCCCAAGGGCGGAATCGAACCGCCGACCCCGTTCTTACCAAGAACGTGCTCTACCTCTGAGCTACTTGGGCGTGGTTGGTTATGTCAGTAATTGTGTGGTGGAGGGGGCAGGATTCGAACCTGCGAAGCCCGTCAGGGCGCCAGATTTACAGTCTGGTGGCTTTAACCACTCACCCACCCCTCCATGTGAGAACTCCCGGATAGATGGTTCTTTTGCGTTTATAGCGTTTTGGAGCCCCAGAGGGGACTCGAACCCCTAACCTGCCGATTACAAATCGGCTGCGCTGCCAATTGCGCCACCGGGGCGCGGGGTTGGCTCGTCGAGCCCGACCGGTAAATTCCGTGCAATACGCTAAAAAAAGCCCCGGCAACTTCCGGGGCCTTCCGGTTTTCGCCGATCGAATAATAGGTTACGCAATACCGCCAATATTGTCAACGGTTTTCGGCGTTCCTAAACACCAACCGGCGGTTTCAGCACTGGTCAGAAACGGCGGTTCTTGGGCGGCTCAAGCGCCGGGGGGCGCTCCGGACGGTGGGGTATAATGATTGCACTGAGCGGGCGTAGCTTAGTGGTAAAGTCCCAGCCTTCCAAGCTGGCTACGTGGGTTCGATTCCCATCGCCCGCTCCATTTGCTGTCCGCGCGGCCGCCGGATTGCCGCCACTAGCCAGCGACGGCGATGATCTCGCGCTGGCCGATGGGCTGCGGCGGGCGGTTGTTGGGGCCGTGGGTCAACGACTGCAACCGGTCGACCTGTTCGGGCGACACGGCGCCGATGGATTGGATCACGATCCAACGGACGCCCTCGGTGCAGGGCGGCGTGGTCAGGGATCCGCCGTAGCCGTAGTAGTCGAGTTGGTCTGGGACGAAATCGGCGGCGTCCACCCCAGACCCCAGTTGTGCGGTGGCTCCTGTTTCCGGAGCCGTGTCGAGCAGGGCTTGGACCAGAGGGCTGGGCTCACCTAGCCGGAACAGCAGGCCGATCACCGCCAGGTTGCCTTCGGCATCCTCATGTACCAGATGCAGTTCGGCGGCGAAGGATTCTCCGTCCACCCGGTGTTCCCCAGGAGAATGGGAATGTACTCCGAGCAGTTGGTACTGCCGGTCTTCGATCGATATCGCGTTTCCTTGCTCGAAGTCGAGGTATACGGTGTGGCCCGTGTTTCTAGCGGAAACCGCGCGGCCGCCGTACTCAAATGCGATCGCGGGCCCATCGCTCGTCTCATAGCCAGAGATGTCGATGGGGGATTGTTCAACCCCTCCAGAGCAGAGCTTGTACTCGTCGGACAGATTGCCCCAGTATTCCGGGCCTGCTGGCCCCGAGTAGCCCCATTCCGTTTGGCCGGCGTCGCAGGTCATAGTGGATAGGGTTATCAGCAGCAGGACGGTGAGCAGCGGCGCACGCGGTCTCACTCCGCCCGAGCAGCGGCCAGCACGCGTGCCATCGCGTCCTGCAGGGCGGCGGTGTCAATAGTCGCCCGCAGTTCGCCGGAGTCGTCCTGGCCGAAGCTCTCTTCAACGCGGAACTCTTCGATCAGGGCCGTAACGGTGTCCTGGCGTTCCTCGTGGTTAGCTGAAGCCAACGCGGTGAGACTGCCGTCGGCGATATGCCGGTCGATCTCCGCGCCGAGCAGTTCGTCCTCCACGACCCGACGCTGGATGACGCCGATGTTCTGGAGGTTCCGGCCGAGATAGCAGCCGCCGAACTGCATGATTTCGCATTCGCGGCCCTCGAGGCCCATCGATTTCGGCGAACCAGTGGTAGCGTGGTTCCAGCTCGTGCTCGCTGAGATAGTCGCGCACCTGCTGGTCCTCGCGGGCCGGGTCGGACGGATCGAACACCAGCTTGACCGTGTGCATCATCAGGCCGGCGGGTTCTACAGTGATGTACATCTCATCCTCCGGGTGCGGGTCGTGTCGACAGGGGCCGGTCTCACTGGTGGATTGATGGGGACTGATCCGGTTTCCTTTCGGAGTCTAACCCTCGATCGCGCGGACTACGCGGTCCACGTTTTCAGGACCCGGAGCAATCGCCTTGCTGTCCACCAGCCGCATGGCCTCAACGATGGCGTCGTGGTAGGGGGTGGCGACGCCGGTCTCCCTGCCCTTTTCGCAGATGAGACCGTTCATGAAATCGACTTCCGATTTGCGGCGCTTGTGCACGTCCTGGGCCATGGAGGCGAGCCAGTTCACCCGGCCGCCGGCCTCGGACAGTTTCCCGTCCAGCTCCTCGAACACGTCGCCCCGGTCCGCGTCCGCCCAGAACTCGGCGGGGGTGCCGTTGATCTCCACCACCCGGAGTCCCTGGGCCAGGCCGACCTGCGCGCCTTCTTTGGCCAGGTTGATGCGGATGCGGCGGATCCTGTCGTCGCCGGCCATCTCCTGGCTGCCCAACTGGCTCATGGCGGAGATGGCGTTGCCCATGCCGTTCTGGCACAGCTTGGCCCAGCGCTCGCCGGGCAGGTTGTCGGTGGCGTAGGCGGCATCGATGTGGTCCAGCTTGGCGGCCAGCGCTTCGGAACGGGGTGTGATCGCTCCGGTGTACTCTCCGACACGGAACACGGTGTGGCCGTGGTCGCGACCCGGCGCGCCGCCGCGGTTGACGTGGGCCGGCTCCCAGAGGGCAACCTCGATGTGCGAGGCGATGCAGCCCAACTGGCGGTCCTCGCCGACGATGTTGGCGATGGTGGGGTCATTCCAGCAATTCTGGATGGACACGAACGCGCCGTCGTCCTTGACGTACCGCTTGACGAAGTGGGTGGCCCACTCGGTATCGTAGGACTTGACGGTGATGAAGGCGTAGTCGAAGGGCTCGGTGATGTTCTGGGCGTCCGTCAGGTGCATGGCGTTGACGGGCACGGTGAAGTCGCCCTGGCTGCCGCTGGCGCGGAGGCCCTCGGCGCGCATCTTTTCGACGTGCTCGGGCCACATGTCGATGAAGGTGATGTCGTCCTCGCCGGCCTGGACGAGGAAAGCGCCCACGTAGCTGCCGACGGCGCCGGGACCCATGATTACGATGCGGTCTGCCATGATTTTTGCTCCTGAGATGGTGGTAGTTGCTCGGGGTTTACTGTTTCGCTACATCTGGACAAATGCTGTCGCGCTCGGCCAACAGTTGTTCTCGGGTCTGCAAACTGACCGCTAATCTTACCAAGTCAGACTTCGACACACCGAGAAGAAACAATCCGGCACCCACATCTGCATCATCGGCTATCATACATTCCATAGTTTCGGCGGCGATCATTCGCTCGATTTTCATCGCATCCGGCATAACGCGATACGGCAGGGGCAGAGATTCCACGAAGAAAAACATCGCTCCGTAGAAGACGATCACGCCGATGACGATGTAAGAGAGGGGTTTGGCGAGTTTCTCCACGTGATCGTTCCTTCGCACGAGCGGCTATCGGCATCCACATGCCCGGACCCGTATTGGTCTTGAGACCATTTGTGCCAAACGTTACGCTATCGAAAGCCGCCATCAAACTAGCCAGTAACCGAGTTCGCCCCACTCGACGCGTGGACCACGTCGCTGACCGTGGTTCCCGTGTCACGCAAGAACTCTACCCACGCTGAGGTGTCGATCAGTATCACGGGGCGCGGTAGGAACGCATTGCGTCGAGGTCACCCTCCCATCCGATCCCCCGAAAGGAGCGGGCTTCATCAACGGAGGCAGGTTTAGCCGCCAACGTCCGCAAGGCGAAGTTGATCGCGTCGCGCTTGGTGGCAAGCCGATAACGCCGCATGACCTCGGCGCATGCTGCATCGTCGATATTCACGTTGGTGCGTGCCATACACCTAAACTACACCAGTCCACGAAGGTCGGCAAACTACGCTGTTCTGACGCAGTCCAAATGCGAGACTACATCGCCACCACCCGGGCGTCGTCCACCTGCGGCAGTGCCTTGATGGCGTCCAATGCCTCCGGAGACACCGGGTCGTCTAGGCCCAGCACCATCATCGCCTGGCCGCGCGGGAGCGATCCGCCCGACTTCCATGAAGCTGATGTTGACGTTGTGCCGGCCGGCCACGGTTCCCACCGCGCCGACGACGCCGGGCTGGTCCTGGTTGTCAACGAACATCAGGTAGGACGCCGATGGCGCAACGTCCATCCAGTATTCGTTCACGCGCACCAGGTGCGGCTCGTCGCGCAGGGAGGTGCCGGCGATGGTGATGTCGTCGCCGGTGGTGTGCAGCGTCGCGGTGATGAGGCTCGCGTACTCCCGGCTGTCACCGGAGGTCTGCTCGGTGATCTGCAACCCGCGCTGTTGCGCCAGCACGGGAGCGTTGATCATGTTGACCGCCTCGCCGCTGACCTGCCCCAGCAGGCCGACCAGCGCCGCAGCTTTCAGGATGGCGGTACTGTGCTCGGCAATCTCGCCCTGGTACCGGATGGTGATGCCGATGAACTGCCCTCGCGCCATGCTGGTGAGCAGGCGGCCCACCATAGACGCGACGGGAACGTAAGGGGCCAGGATCGCGTGGACTTCGGGAGGTACGAAGGGTGCGTTGACGGTGTTGCGCGCCGGCTTGCCTTCCAGCACGGCCAGCACCTGCTCGGCGGCCTCAATGGCAACCTCGCGCTGGGCCTCCTGAGTTGACGCTCCCAGGTGCGGCGTGGCGACGAGATTGGGGTGTTTCAGCAGGGGCAGGTCGCCGGGAGGTTCGTTGGTGAAAACGTCCAGGGCGGCGCCGGCCAGGTGTTCGCTTTCCAGCGCGTCCAGCAGCGCGTCATCGTCCACCAGCTCGCCGCGGGCAACGTTTATCAGGCGCGCGCCGGGCTTCATCTGCGCCAATTGAGGCGCGGAAATCAGCCTGGTCGTGCCGGCAGTCAGCGGAGTGTGCAGGGTGATGAAATCAGCCTGTGCCAGCAACTCGTCGAGGGACACGACCGTCACACCCATCCGGGCCGCGAAATCGGGGGCGACGAAGGGATCGTAGGCGATCAGGCGCATGCCGAAGCTGGCGGCGCGGCGGGCCACTTCGGAGCCGACGCGGCCCAGGCCGACGATGCCCAACGTCTTGTTGCGCACCTCGATACCCATGAAGGCGGAGCGCTGCCACTGGCCGTCCTTCATGGATGCATAAGCCTGCGGCACGTTCCGCGCGAGGGCCAGCATCAGGGCTACGGTGTGCTCGGCGGCGGCTACGGTGTTTCCGATCGGGGCGTTGACCACCGCGACGCCGGCGCGGGTCGCCGCGTCCAGGTCGATGTTGTCGACGCCGATGCCGGCGCGGGCGATGACCTTGAGGTCCCCGCCGGCTGCGATCACCGGTTCGGTTACCTTGGTCTCGCTGCGCACCACTAGGGCATCGTACCCGGGGATGGTCGCGATGAGTTCGTCGGGGGAGAGGCCGCGCTTGACATCCACCGGGACGTGCTTTTTCAGCAGGTCAATGCCTTCGGCGGCCACATTATCGGTAATCAGTACTTTGGTCATGGGGATGAACAGTCTCCACACCGCCGTGTGCGCTGAATGGCGCGAATTTTGTGCTCGGTGGGTCGCCTGTAAACGGCGAAATGACACCCTCCGGCGGCGGTGGTAGCATAGCGATGGTAGCACAAAGGCACTTTAACTGTCAGCCGCGCGTCCAGTGTCGCCCGCGCCGGCAGCCCGAGGTTATAGCACCATGACCACCCGCACTGCGCCTCCCCGCGTCTCATACCGCAAGCTCACACCCATCGTGCTGCCCGACGATTACGTGTGCCCGGATCCAGACCCGGAGCTGGAGGATGGCCGCGATATGCAGCAGGCTCCCACCATCGACAAGAGCGGCTACTTCGTGGCCCGGCATTTCGCCGGCCGGCCCGATGTCCTGGTTCGTACCGACGGCTTCGTCTATTACAACCAGTACGACATGAACTACCGTTTCCGGCCGGATCTCTACGTGGCCTCCGGCGTGGAAGCCGACGCCATTCGGCAGCGCAACGGCTATGTGATCTGGGAAGCGGGCAAGCCGCCGGACTTCGCTCTGGAAGTCGCTTCCGAAACCACCAACCAGCGGGATACCGGGGAGAAGACCGGCCTGTACGCCAGCGTTGGCATCGCCGAATACTGGCGGGTTGATCCCACCGGCGGCGAGCTGTACGGCTACGCCCTGGCGGGTGATGTGCTGGTTGACGGCATCTACCATCCCATTTGACCTGCACACGGAGGAGGATGGCACGATCTGGGGTTACAGCGGCGTTCTGGACCTGTGCCTGTGTTGGAACCCGTCGTGGGACTGGGACGTTGACGATGAATCGCACCTGCGTTTTTTCGACCGCAAAACGAGCCGCTACCTGTGCGACATATCCCTGGTTGAAGCGGAGCGGGATGCAGCGGTAGCGGAACGGGATGCAGCGGTAGCCGATTTGCAGCAGGCTCGGGAACGGATCAGGCAACTCGAAACTAAGCTGACCGGGCCGGAGACGCCGGACGACGGCGCAGGCTGACGGGCAACAGCAGAGCATCTAACCGGAGGGATTAGCGAATGATCAAAAACTTTTCCGTCCTCTACGCCGGCCACGTCCTGGAAGGCGACGGCATCGGGTTCGATGGCATCCCCGCCAATGACCGCTGGTACGACAACGACCGGCTGTCCACGGCAATGGACATCGCCCGCCAGGCCGCCGTATTCCTCGACGACCTGGGCTTCGACATCCTGTGGATGGCGGAGCACCACTTCCAGCGCGAGGGGTACGAGTGCATCCCCAACCTGCTCATCATGAGCCAGTACCTGGCGCAGCACACCAACCGCATCAAGTTCGGCTGCGGCTTCAACATCCTGCCGATGTGGCATCCCATCCGGCTGGCCGAGGACTTCGCCATGGTGGACATCCTCACCGGAGGCCGCGTGGTGTTCGGCATCGGTCGGGGCTACCACACCCGCGAGGTGGAGTCCTTCGGCGCGCCCATGATGGACGGCGACGCCAACCGGGAGCTGTTTGAAGAGCAGTTCGAGATCGTGATGAAGGCCTTCAACAACGATTCCTTCTCCCACCAGGGCAAGCACTACACCATCCCGCCGGACATTCCCTATCGCGGCTACGACCTGAACGAAGTGACCCTGGTGCCGCGCCCCAAGACACGGCCCGTCGACGTATGGCAGCCCATCGTCAGCGCGTCGGACCGGGCGCTGGACTTCATGGCCAAGTGGGGCATCAAGGGCGTGATACTGGGTACCGGCGAACAGTACGTGGCGGAATGGGTTCAGCGCTACCAGGCCGCCAACCAGCGTGCCGGCCGGGACCTGGCCCTGGGTGAGGGTCTTTGCGTCGGGCTGTGGGCCATGGTGGACGACACCACTGCCGGCGCCCGTCGCCAGCTGGAGCCACTGTTCGAGGAGCACGTCAAGTTCGCCGCGCCACTGGGCATGTTGCGCTACAGCGACCAGCAGATTGCCGCCACCGGCCCCGGCGGAGTGGCACGTCACATCGCTGCGGGCAGCAACTTCCAGGACGTGATCGACAACCGCGCGTGGTTCGCCGGCAGCCCCGAGGACACGGTGGCCTACCTGGAGGAGCTACAGGACAAGTATCCGGGCCTGGAGCAGGTCATGATCGCCTTCCCCATGGGCGCCACCACCAGCCAGTTCAAAGAGCAAATGGGGCGGTTTGCGGCGGAGGTTATACCGCATTTCAAGCAAGTGCCGGCGTAGCAAAGCTGAAATTGAGGAACGTCTCATGGCAGTGCCAACGCAGAAGCAATTCCATAGACCGATCTTGGAGATCGTGCGTGACCGCAAGTCGGTCGTCCCTCGCGTGCAGATCAGCCGGACTTTGGGGGGTCATTTTGCGTTGACCGAAACAGATCTCCAAGAAATGGTCCCGTCTGGCACGCAAACCCGATTTGACAATCGCGTCTATTGGGCACTGTCCTATCTCAAGCGCGCAGGATTGCTGCATGCCGAATCGCCAGGTCGGTTCACTATAACTCCTTCAGGATCCGAGTTTCTCAACGAGCAACGAGGGGACATCGAGACCAATTTTTTGCAACAGCTCATCGATAAGTTAAAGCAGCAGACTTCCGGTGATGGCGAAGAAACTCATCAATCCTCCACCGCAGACGAATTTCCCGCAATTGCGGATGGCATCTCTGTCGACCTTGAGGATGCGACGCCAGATGAACAAATCGCTCTGACCTATTCGCGGTTGTTCGAAAAGCTCACCGACGATCTGTTGGATAGCGTGATGAGTATGACCCCAGAACGCTTCGAGCACCTTTCGCTGGATTTGCTGGAAAAGATGGGATATGGCAAACCCACCCATCGTGGCCGCAGCGGTGACCATGGCATCGACGGCGTAATCGAGCAAGACTTACTGGGGTTGGACAAGGTATGCGTTCAATCAAAACAGTGGAAAGTCGACAGTCTGGTGCCTGAACAAGAGGTCAGAAACTTCGCAGGCAGTCTAGATATGGAAGGCGCCACCAAAGGCGTGTTTGTCACGACCGCACGGTTTAGCAAACCAGCGATAGAAGCGGCCCGCATTATCTCTGGCGGCAGCAAATTTATCAGGCTGATCGACGGGGATGAGCTTCTTCAATTGTTGATAGACCACGAAGTCGGGGTTCTAACCGCCTACGTAGTGAAATCGCTTGATCAGGACTATTTTGGCGAAGCCACCTAGCACCGTTCAGGGCGGACAACTAATCCTTCGGGGGTTCTCGCCTACAGCAAGCGCGCTGCCGCATTGGTGTATCATGGCCCCCACCAAACCGACCCCCCGCTCAGGCTGACCCACCGCAGGAGGCTATCGAATGTTCCTGATGCGTTTTACCGAACGGGCTTACGTGAACTACACCGAGGAGGACGTGCGCAACTCGCCCAACGAGGCGGTGCGGCTCACCTTCTCCAACTCCAACTTCGACCCCCAGGAAGGCCATTACCTCTACAACATGTACCTCGACGAGTACGAGTACTCCGAGGAGGTGGGTTTCGACGGGCTGATGCTCAACGAGCACCACAACACGCCCACCTGCCTGGGCGCGACGATGAACCTCGAAGCGGCCATCCTCGCCCGCAACACCAAGAACAGCAAGATCGTGCTCTTGGGCAACCCCCTGCCCATTTTCGACAACCCAATCCGCCTGGCCGAAGAGCTGGCGGAGATCGACATGATCTCCGGCGGCCGGCTGGTATCCGGCTTTGTGCGCGGCACCGGGGGTGGAGAGTCTGGCCACCAACACCAACCCGCTGCACAACCGGGCGCGCTTCGAAGAAGCCCACGACCTGGTCATCAAAGACCTGGACCACGCCCGGCCCCTTCCGTTGGGAAGGTGAGCACTACCACTTCCGCGTGGTCAATCCGTTCCAGACCCCGATGCAGAAGCCGCACCCGCCGGTTTGGATCCCAGGCACGGGCAGCCCTGAGACCCTGGTGTGGTGCGCCGAGCGCAACTACCCGTACATCTTCCTGGAAACTGACCCGCAGGGCACGCAGGACATGAAGGCCATCTACGCCGAGACCGCCCGTCGAGCACGGCTACGAGCCCGGCCCTGAGAACTTCGGCTACCTGGTTCGCATCCATGTACAGGACACCGACGAGAAGGCCTACGACGTGGGCAAGGGCTACATGGTGGGCAACATCGGCGTGGGCCGCATCCCTCTGCCCCGCGACTACGCCTCGCCGGTGGGCTACGGCAGCCGCAGCGATGACCCGCGCTTCCTGCGCCTGCGCGAGCAGGTCCGCAGCGACCCGTTCCGCGTGGGCGGCCTGGACGGAGCGGCGTACGACTCCATCCTGGACTCCAAGCGGTGGATCATCGGCAGCCCCGATACCGTGATTAGCCAGCTGCGCGAGGTGCTGAGCTTCATGCGCCCCGGCATCCTGGCCGTGTGGACTAACGACGGCTCCATCAGCCATGAGGATACGATGCGCTGCCTGGAGCTGATGGGCCAGGAGGTGCTGCCGGCACTGCGCGAAATCGGAGAAGAGCTGGAGCTGACCGACCCCTTCCAGAAGGAAGGTGCACAGCCCGGGCTTACCAGGATGTAAGCGCTGCTCAATCGACCGTTCATGAAGCAAGGAGCATAACCCCAATGGCAAACTTCACCGAGGAAACCATCTCCGTCGCCGGCGGCAACCTTCAGGTGTACAAGGGCGGCAGCGGCGATCCGCTGCTGGTGTTGCACGGCGCCGGCGGCAACGCCGGCCCCCGGCGTTACGCCCACGCCCTGGCCGAGAAGTTCACCGTTTACCTGCCTTCGCATCCCGGTTACGGCAAGAGTGACCGGCCCGGCTGGGTCGAGAACATGCAGGACCTAGCCTGTTTCTATACCTGGTACCAGGAGCAGGAAGGGTTGGAAAACGTCCGCGCCATCGGGTTCTCGATGGGCGGCTGGCTGGCCGCGGAGATGCTATCGATGACCGGCCACGCCTTCAGCAAGGTGATGCTGGTGGGCGCCGCCGGCATCAAGCCGGTGGATGGCGAGATCACCGACATCTTCATCATCAACCCCCAACAGATCCGCGACCTGGTCTACCATGACCCGAGCCAGGTGCCGGAATGGGACGAGATGTTCGGCTCGGACCCGACGCCGGAACAGACCGATCAGGCGGAGGGCGACCGGGAGATGGCCATCCGGTTGACCTGGAAGCCCTATATGTACAACCCGCGGCTGCCGGCCAAGCTGGCCCGCGTCAGCATCCCTACACACATCGTGTGGGGCGAAAACGACAATCTGGTCCCGGTGGAGTGCGCCGACCTCTACCAGCAAGCGCTCGCGGGATCCCAGGTCACGGTGATCTCCAATTGCGGGCACTCGCCGCAGATCGAGAAACCCGACGACTTCGTGCAGACCGCGCTGGCTTTCCTCTAGGCCGGCGTTTTGCGCTACATCAGGCGGCATGGGAGATAACGATGACTACTACGCCCATCGGCGAGAAGTTACTCACCGCCCACGAGTTCCTCCGGCTATGCGAGCAGCGGGTCGTCAAGGGTGAGTTGGTCAAAGGAGTGGTGAGCAAAACCGTGTCGGCGAATGGAGAGCACAGCGAAATCGCGGCCGCACTAACGTCAGTGCTGGTGAATCATGTCCGTCCCCTTCGTTTGGGGCGGGTTTCGACATCCGATGCTGGCGTATTTCTGGAGCGGGATCCCGACACAGTGCGGGAACCGGATGTAGCCTTCATCTCTGCCGAAAAACTGCCGCTGGACGTAAAAATCCGCGGCTTCTACGAGGTCGTACCCGATCTGGTGGTCGAGATAGTCTCCCCTGGTGACAGCGCGCGATACATGAGCGAGCGGGTAGCCATGTGGCAGAGCCACGGAGTACCACTGGTGTGGGCGGTCTATCCCGTGGCAAGGGTGGTGGCCGCGCACCCCCTGGGCAAGCCAACGCTCGTCTACACCGAGGACGACGAGCTGGACGGTGGTGCCGTGCTGCCCGAATTCCGCTGTTCAGTGCGTGACATCCTGGACTGGTAGGCGTGTCCCCAGGAGTCAGAACCAAGGGCTAGTCCACCGCGTGCAGTCGCCCATCGGCGGTGCGGACGTACAACCTGCCGTCGGCGTAGGCCGGCGGCAATTCTATTGGCCCGCCCAGATCCAGTTCCCATACTACCGAGCCGTCGGCGCGGTTCAACGCGCGGAGAATGCCGGCCCGCGTGCCGAAATACACGCGGTCGCCCAGGATGATTGGGGAACTGACAATCCCGCCGCCGGCCTCGAACCGCCATAACTCGCCGTCGGTGGCGGCATCACGGGCGTAGAACAGGCCGTCGCTGTCGCCGATGTAGTACACGCCCGCGGCGATCGCGGGTGAGCCGACCACTCCCTGGGACGCTCGATCCTCCGGCGCGAACCGCCACCGCTCTCCGCGCTGGGCCGGCGGCGCCGGGACGAATGGTACCTGCCAGATCCACACCTGGAACCAGGCGCGCTTGATCCAGTAGAGCCCGGGCATGCCCTTTACGTCGGTGTCGATGGCGTACAGCGTGCCGCCCGACGGGAAATACACCGTGTCGTTCGTTACCACCGGGGGCCCGGATGCTGAACCAGCCGTCAGGAACCGCAACCGGCGCCGGCCGTCGTCGGCATCGATGAAGTACAGGTTGCCCTCGTCGTCCGCCACGTAAATCCGGCCGTCCCGCAGCGCGGGGATGGTCTTCACGTTCCCCCGCAGCTTGTGCTTCCAGAGCTGTTCGCCGGTCTGGGCATCCAGGCCGTAGATGATGTTTCCGGCTGAAGTGACGTAGGCGACGCCGTTATGCACCAGTGCGGAGGCCGAAATGGGCAGGTGTGCCTTGAAGTCCCAGGTCTGCTCTCCCGTGTCCTGGTCCAGCGCCAGGATACGGTGGTTGGTCATGCCCACAAACATCAGGTTGTTGTTGGCGATGGTCGTGGCATGGTCCATGGGGCCCGGGGTTTCCACCGACCACAACTGCTCGCCCGTTTCGGCGTCCAGGGCCGACACCTGGAAATGCCCGCCGACGAACACCTTGCCATCCGCCACCAGCGGCGCGGAGCGAGTGTACGGCCCCAGGTCCCGGGACCAGATCACGCGGCCGTCGGGTTGTCGCTCCACCTCGGAAATGAACCCATTGAGATTGGTACCGTAACCCAGCATCGACCAGCGGCCGGCGTTGGACGAGGATGACGCGGCGGCCGACGGGCTTCCCGCAAACCAGCGCACCGGATTGGGCAGGCTGAACCAGAATATCCATCCTAAGATGGCGACCAGCACCAGTGCCCCGGCCGCGATGGCCGGTCTCGCCAGACGCATCCGATAGCGCCGCCGCGCCGTGCGGTCGCTGCGCTCAATCCAGTCGGGCAGCTGCGCCGGCTGATCCTGTTCCTGCATGGCGCTCATTATACCGATAGGGGCGAATATTCATTCGCCCCTACATTACCGACACAAGGTTGGCGGAAGCAGCTAGACATTGCGCTGCTTGGGATCCAACCGGTCGCGCAGCCAGTCGCCCAGCAGGTTCACGGACAGCACCGTGAACAGGATCCCCAGCCCGGGGAAGAAGGAAACCCACCACGAGTCGATGATCAGTTCCCGCCCATCGGCCACCATGACACCCCACGCCGGATTGGGACGGGGGATGCCGGCGCCAAGGAAGCTCAGGCCGGCTTCCAGGAGGATTACGAACCCTAGCTGGAGCGTAGCCAGCACGATGATGGTATTCACCAGGTTGGGGAATATGTGGCGCAGCATGATACGGATCTGCGAAGATCCGGCCACCTGCGACCTGGCGATGAAGTCCTGGGTCTTGAGCGCCAGCGTCTCCCCGCGGATCAACCGGGCGTAACGCGACCAGAGGAATAGACAAACCACGATCAGCACGTTCTCGATGCGTGGCCCCAGGGTCGCCGCGAGTACCAGCGCAACCAGGATCAGCGAAATCGACAAGGACATATCAACGAGGCGCATGACCACAGTGTCAACCCAGCCGCCATAATAGCCGGCTAATATGCCCAAAACGGTGCCGATCAGCCCCGACACGAAGATCGCCATCAAGGACACCACTAGCGCCAGCCGTGCGCCATGCACGATGCGGCTGAATATGTCCATGCCGTTCTTGTCGGTGCCGAGCAGGTACTTGGCCTGCCCGCCGGGTTTGACCACGATCTGGATCTGGTCACCCGGCACGGGAACTTCGCCCTCGGCTTTGCCAATGACGGAGGCGTCCCCGATGCGAACCGTTCGCTCGGCGTCGCCCAGCTTGATCTCGTTCTGACGGTTTTCCCGGTTCACCGTCTCCACCACCGTACGAACGGACAGCACGTCGCCGGACCAGGCCGGCGGGACCAGCCTGTCGTCCAGATCACCGCGCCTCGGGTTATGGGGCGCGATCAGCTCAGCGAAGACGGCCGGTAAAATCAGGAATACCAGCAGCATCGTCACCGGGAACAGCGGGAGCCTGCGGATTTCCGTGATCCAATGACGGATCTTGCCCCAGACGCTGGGGCGTACTGCTACTTCTTCCGAGACGGGACTGGCCGGGACGGGCGCCATGGTGATAGCCATGTCTCATTCTCCACCGATTGCCGTTGTTGTTACCGAAACGAATACTGCTGGCTTCTGGTCGCGGTTGCTTTCCGTGTAGTGGATGCCTTACGTGTACCGGATGCGGGGGTCCAGGTACGCGTAGAGTATGTCGACCACGAGGTTAGCGAAGATGTAGATGGACGATCCGATGATGACCACCGCCTGCAACACCTGGAAGTCACGACCACGGACGGCGCCTACCGCCAACTGTCCCACGCCGGGCCACGAGAACACCGTTTCCACGATGACTGTGCCCGTGAACAGGCCGCCAATGATGATGGCGAAGTAGGTCAACGGCGCGATGAATGCGTTACGCAGGCAGTGCTTCCAGATCACCTTCCATTCCGGTACGCCCTTGATACGCGCCAGCTTGACGAACTCGGTATCGAGGACGTCCAGCATCGACGAACGGATCAGTCGCAGCAAAGCCGCCACCTGGAAAAATCCCAGGGTGAACGCCGGCATGATCAGGTGGTCGATACCACCCTTGCCGGAAGACGGCAGCCAGCCCAACTGCACCGCGAACAACCAGAGAAGCATGATACCCAGCCAGAAACTGGGAACCGACTGGCCCAGGAAAGCAATCGCTTTCCCCTGGTAGTCCAGCCAACCATCCTTCTTGGCCGCCGTGATTACACCCAGTGGCACGCCAAGTACCAAAGCGATCAACATGGCGAGCCCGCCCAGCTGCAACGTGGCCGGGAATCGGTCCATCACCATTCCCATGGCCGTCTGTCCGCCGAAGGCATACGACTCGCCAAAGTCGCCCCGAACGGCATTGCCCAGGAAGACGAGGTAGCGCATGTGCAGCGGCCTATCTAGGCCCCACTTTTCCTTGAGGGCGGCGATGTCTTCCGGAGTGGCTTCGCCCATGGGCAGCATCACCGATGTTGGGTCGCCGGTGATGTTGGACAGCATGAACACGATGATGCTCACCAGCAGCACGGCGATAATCGCCTGCCCAACGCGGAAGATTATGAACCGCTGCATAGTCGCCTCCCGTCCTTAGCTTCTTCTAAATGGGGCCCGGGCCCCGCGGGTAGCCTAATACGTCGCATTGTCGTTCCGTTACCGTGCCGCGCGTTCTGCCTATCTGGCTGACTTGGCGTACTCCAGGTGTCCGAACACCCCGGTGAGGCTGCCGAACTTGTACTCGGCCACTTCGTCCGGATTCACCACCAGGGTGGCGCGGACGTTGACGATCGGGATGGTGCGGTAGTTGTCATAGATGTGGTCGCCCATCTCTTGCGCCAGCCGGTGCCGCTCGGCCGGGTCCGTTCTTCTCAGCAGCGCCTCGTACACGTCGTCGTAGAGTTGATGCTCAATGTAGGCCACCCCGCCGTTGGGGCGACCAGGTTCAGGGTCGATGGAGCCGGTGTAGTAATAGATTCGCGCGTTGGCGTTGATCTGCCGGATGGTCTGGCGCACGGGCAGAATGAAGTGTGGCGTCGTGCGGCCTCGGAAGGCATCCAGAGCCCGGGCAAACTCCACCTCCACCAGCTTGGCGTCGATGCCGATGTCCTGAAAGGACTGTGCCACGGTCTGCGCTACCTCGATGGTCTCCGGCAGTCCGGGCAAGCTGCTCTGGTAAACCTCTACGCGAGAAGCGATTCTGGCCATTGTCGCCGGGGAAGCCGGCCTCGTCCAACAACTGCTTGGCCAGTTCCGGGTCGTAGCCCGTACTTCTCGTCGAACTCGTCGGCCCAGCGCGGGTTCCACCCTTCCAGCGTGTCGTGGAAGATGGTGTTGTACATCGGCTCGCCGCGACCCTTGAACAGCTCGTTAATAATCTGGTTCCGGTCGATGGACCGGTTCATCGCCTCCCGCACCAGCCGGCCGGTCTCCCCAGGGGCGGTCCACGGCTCGGTATCGGGTTCCAGTTGACCTGGCTGAGGTCGTACTGGCCGAAGGGCAAGATGGTCAAGCCCGACCGACGGCAGCGGGCTTTCGAAGACCTCCATGCCCTCGTCGATGGCCTGCTGGTGCAGCACCTTGGGCACGTCCACCATGTTGGCCTCGCCGGTGAGCAGCATGGCCAGCCGGGTCAGGTCCTCGGGCGCGGTGGTAATCCGCATGCGCTTGAACTCGGGGTTCACCCGCCAGTGGTCGTAGGGCACCGCCTCGTACTCGGTGTACTCCTTGAGCTCGCGCTCGACGAACTGGTAGCCGCCGGTTCCGGCGGGGCCGCTCTCGAACATGGCGTCGCCCTCGGCCTCGTGCTGAGCGGAACTGCGCACGGCGGCGCAGGGAACCACCAGATGTTGAACCACCAGTCGGCCACGTCCACCTGGGGCTCGGGCGAGTTTCATCTTGAGAGTGTAGTCGTCAACGATCTCGGCGTTGCCGGAATCGATCATCTCGGTCATGGAGTCGTAGCCCATGAACTTTTTCAGGGGTGACTTGCAGCCGGCCAGGGGGTTCGACATCTGCTGGTCAAGGGTGAGAATCACGTCCTTGACGGTGAACTCACCCCAACCGTGGTGCATTTGGACACCCTCCTGGAGGTAGAAGGTGTACTCGCTGGCGTCAGGGCTGACATCCCATGCCGCGCCAACTGGGGCAGGATGATGGAGACGCCGGTGTCCGGTGAGATGGTGGTCAGGTTCTCCCACATCGGCCGGAAAACCAGGTGTCCGCTGCTGGTGGCCAACCAGGGGTAGTAGGTGTCCTGCGGCAGCGGGGTCACGGCCAGGTGGAGATAAGTGTCCGCGTCGGCCATGACCGGCATGGCGGTAGGCTCGGGCGCCGAGGTGGTTGCGGCCTGAGCCGGGGCCGCCGGCGCTGCGGTAGCCGCGGGGGCGGCGGCCGGCTCCGATGTTGTCCCTCCACAGGCGACAATCACGGACAGGAATACGATCAATAGGGGAACTGCGGCGATGCGCCGCGCCTTTCGAATACTGCGAACTGCCATGCGGATACCTCCGTATCGGTCAGCGGATTCCCGTGTGCCGCCAAACATTAGCATCGGCCAAACCCGATGTCAAATATTCGTATTCGTGATATTATGCGTGGCATAAAATATTCAGACCGATGCCATTTGAGATGGTTGTCGTTGTCAACGGGCCACGCAAGAGGCAATATCGTCTACGGACAAATGATTTACGAACGTAGCAGACCCTCTCGCCGGATTGCGTCCTTTTACGTCAGGTTAAGCCGGTTTGGATTTCCGTTGCACGCCGGCATTTTCGACCATATACTCCCGCGCGGTTATCTTTTGCCGTAGCGTTCTCTCGATAAGCGTTCTTTCAATAAGCGTTCTTTCAATATCGGTTGAGCCAGTCATGCCATCCACATCGGCAACACCCCCGTCGGTCCCTGATCCCAATCAATCGCCTTCGGCGCTGGAAGGGGTTCGAGTGGTCGAGTGGGGAGAAATGGTGTCGGCGCCGTTTTGCGCGAAGGTGCTGGCGGAGTTGGGCGCGGATGTTGTCAAGGTGGAGCCACCCGAAGGGGACGCTGCCCGCCGTGCCGGACCATTCCCCGGCGGGCAGCCCCATCCGGAGCGCAGCGGGTTGTACCTGTTCGCAAACCTGGGCAAGCGGGGCGTGACGCTGGATACCAACCTACCCGACGGCATCGACCAGCTACACGGCCTCCTGGAAAACGCGGATCTATTCGTGGAAAATCAAGCCTATGCCAGGCTGGGCCCAGCGGGGACAACCGCGGAGGAGTTGAAACTTCGCCATCCCCGCCTGATCACCATTTCGCTCTCGCCTTACGGTCGCACCGGCGACTACCGGGAGCACGCCGGTTACGACCTGCAGGTGAACGCCCTGAGTGGAATGAGCTTCGGCACCGGCCATCCGCACCGGGAACCGCTCACCACGCCGGACCGCCAGGCGGGGTATCTCGCCGGGCTCGGCGGGGCCTACGCCGCCATCGTAGCTCTGCTGGCTCGCGAGTCGAACCTTTCCGACGACAACGACTTTGCCGGAGGGCAGTACATCGATGTGGCCGATTCGGGAGTGATAAGCACCCTGCTGACGGGTTACCACCTGCCCACCTTCATCTATCGCGGCATCGCCGGTTCGCGTTCCGGGAACCGGATGCGCCTGGGCCTGTTCCCCAACTGCGTTCTGCCCTGCCGCGACGGCTACGTGTGCATCGATGCCCCGCAGATGGAGCAGTACCAACGGTTCCTGAACCTGATGGGCGACCCGGACTGGACCGAGAACCCCCGCTACCGGGACCGTCGCGCCATGAGCGACCAATATCCCGAGGAGGCCGAGAGCCTGATCGCACCCTGGTTCATGGAGCACGACAAGGCGGAGATCTTGCGGCTCTGCCTGGAGAACCGCATCCCCTGCGCGCCGGTGCTGACCATGGACGAGGCATTGGAACTGTCCCACCTCCATCGACGAGGCTGGTTCGTTGAATCTGAACATCCCCAGGCCGGAGGTTACCGCTATCCCGGCGCCCCGGTGAGACTGCACGGTTCGCCATGCCGCGTGGTTCGTCCCGCTCCACTGCTGGGGCAGCACAACGCGGACGTGCTCGACACGTAATGGTTCCCTGACTCCCGATGCCTCGCCCTCCTCTGTATAACGTGCGCGTGGTCGACCTGGGCTCGGCCTGGGCCGGCCCGATGGCGGGGCACCTGCTGGCGGACATGGGCGCCGAGGTGATCAAGGTGGAGAGCCGGGCACGCATGGACGGAATGCGGCTGGGCCGTCCCATGGTCGGCGAAGACCTGGCCGGCGGGGACCGCGGCCTCTGGCCCGAATTGCAGCCGGTGTTTCACGGGCTCAACCGGAACAAGCTCAGCGTCACGCTGAACCTCCGCACCGAATCGGGGCGCGCCATCCTGCGGCGGCTGGCCTCGGTCAGCGACGTGGTGCTGGCGAACTTCTCGCCGGGAGTGCTGGAAAGGCTGGGCATGGATTACCCCAGCCTGCGCACGGTCAAGCCGGATATCATCGTGGCATCCATGCCGGCCTTCGGCGATACCGGCCCGCTGCGAGACATGGTGGCATACGCGCCCATCATCCAGGCGATGTCGGGCATGATGAGTTTGGTGGGTTATCCGCCGGAAGAAGGCGAGCCCCTGGTGGGCGAACTGCAAGCGGCGTGGAGCGACACGGTGGCGGCCCTGTGCGCCGCGCTGGGAGTGGCGGCGGCCCTGCGGCACCGCAACCGCACGGGCGCGGGGCAGTACGTGGAAGCCGCTCACCTGGAGGGGACGGCCGCGCTGCTGGGCGTGCCCATGCTGGAGTATCAGATGACGGGCGAGAATCCGTCTCCGCCCGGCAACGACGACCCCGACTTCGCGCCTCACAACAACTACCCCTGCGCCGGCGTGGACTCCTGGGTCGCCATCGCCGCGCGCACCGACGCGGAATGGACGGCATTGGCCGTCGCCATCGATAGCGACGGGACAGACGAGTTCAGCCTCGCCACGGACGCCCGGTTCGCCGACAGGTCGGCCAGATGGACCAATCGGAGAGACCTGGACGAAGCCATCTCGGCGTGGACTCGCGGGCTCACCCCGGGGCAGGTCACCGCAAGATTGCAGGCAGTGGGAGTCGCCGCGATGCCAGTGATGAACATCGCCGATCAGTTCGCCGACCCGCACCTGAACGCCAGGGAGACCTACGTGGAGATCGACCACCCACACGCCGGAGCCGAAATGGTGTACGGAGTGCCATGGCGGTTCAGCGACACCCCCGGTTCGGTGCGCGCGCCGGCTCCTCTGCTGGGCCAGCACAACGGTTACGTGCTGCGGGAACTGCTGGGCATGGACGAAACGCGCGTCGACGCGCTGGTTGCGGAGCAGGTGGTGTACTGACGCGCCGGTTCGTGTCGGGCTCGCGGAACCAAAGGGGCCGGCGCGAGACACCCGCCGGCCTCGTATTCTGCTTGCAGCGGTATGCTCCCTATGGTAATTTGACTCACCTGAAAATCATGAAACTATAGGCTAACCGGCAACTTGAAACAATATCCAGAACCCGTATTCAGACATTGCCGAGATTGGCCAGGGCGCCAATCATCACCGGATAAGGAGCGTTGCAGTGGACCCGCTGCTTCAAGTCAAGAACCTGCAAACGTACTTTTTCACCTACGAAGGCGTGGTCAAGGCAGTTGACGACGTCACCTATGAGGTAATGGCCGGCGAAACGCTTGGGCTGGTCGGCGAGAGCGGTTGCGGTAAGAGCGTTAGCGCGCTCTCCCTCATGCGCCTCATTCCGGACCCGCCCGGGAAGACCGTGGGCGGCGAAGTCCTGTTCGACGGCGAGGACATCCTGCAGATCGACATGGACGATATGCGCCGGATACGCGGCGCTAAGATGGCCATGGTGTTCCAGGAACCGATGACCTCGCTGAACCCGGTGCTGACCCTGGATCGGCAGTTGACCGAGACCATCCAGTTGCATCTGGGCAAGAGCCGGGACGAAGCGCGCAAGGACGCGGTCGACCTGCTGGTCAGGGTGGGGATTTCCGACGCGGAGCGCCGCATCCGGCAATACCCACACCAGTTCAGCGGTGGCATGCGCCAGCGCGTTATGATCGCCATGGCGCTGAGTTGCAACCCGCAGCTCATCATCGCTGACGAGCCCACCACGGCATTGGACGTGACCATTCAGGCCCAGATCCTGGAATTGATGAAATCCCTCACCCTGGATCTGGGGGTCGCGCTCATCATCATCACGCACAACCTTGGGGTCGTGGCCCGCTATGCAGACCGGGTAAACGTGATGTACGCCGGCAAGATAATCGAGCGCGGCTCGGCGCTGGAGATCTACACCAACCCGCGCCATCCTTACACCGTTGGATTGCTCGACTCGGTGCCGCGCTTGGACCAGCGACTGACCGATCAAGAGGGCCAGGCTGCCAAGTTGGTGCCCATTGAAGGACAGCCACCAGACCTGGTTAATCTGCCCCCGGGATGCTCGTTCCGTGCGCGCTGCCGTTTCGCCGTAGACAAGTGCGCCACGGAAGCGCCGCCGCTGATGCAGGTGGAGAGCAACGATACCGAGGAGCCCCACGTGTCCGCTTGTTGGCGTTCCGAGATCCTTGGCGTGCAGGCGTTGAGCTACGCCATGGGCACGGGCTAAACCGCTGAGAGAACCATCGTCGTTTGCCATTGATTCGCAATGACTGGTTTGAAAAGGGAGTTCCACGATGACCACTGCTGAGATGCCCCAAACTGCCGCCACAACGCCAGCAGCCGAAGATGTGTTGCTGGACGTCCGCGGCCTCAAGATGTACTTTCCGGTAACTTCGGGCATCCTGTTCCAACGGGCGGTTGCCTACATCAAAGCCATTGACGGCGTTAACTTCACGGTGCGTCGCGGCGAGACACTGGGGCTGGTTGGCGAATCGGGTTGCGGCAAGACGACCACCGGACGCTGCATCCTGCGTCTTTACCGGCCCACCGAAGGCGAGATTTGGTTCAACGGCGTTAACATCGCACAGTCCAAAACCGGCCAGATGCGGGCGATGCGTCGCCAGATGCAGATCATCTTCCAGGACCCATACAGCTCGCTGAACCCAAGGATGACCGCCGGCAACATTATCGGCGAGCCCCTGGCGGTGCACGGGCTGGTCAACAACAAGCGCGAGTACCGCGAGCGGGTGGCCGAACTGCTCAACAACGTCGGCCTGAACCCGTACATGGCCGACCGCTTCCCCCACGAGTTCAGCGGCGGACAGCGGCAGCGCATCGGCGTCGCCCGCGCCCTCTCCGTTGACCCCGACTTCATCGTGTGCGACGAGCCGGTTTCGGCGTTGGACGTGTCCATCCAGGCGCAGATCATCAACCTGCTGGAGGACCTGCAGGAGCGGTACAACCTTACTTATCTGTTCATCGCCCATGACCTCTCCGTGGTGCGCCATATCAGCGACCGCGTGGCGGTGATGTACCTGGGCAAGATCGTTGAAGTCGCCGACCGTAACGCCATCTACGAGAACCCACAGCACCCTTACACGCGCGCGCTGCTGTCGGCGGTGCCGATTCCCGACCCGGTGCTGGACGCTCAGCGGGAACGGATCATCCTTACCGGCGAGGTCCCCAGCCCGCTGAACCCGCCCAGCGGTTGTGTCTTCCACCCGCGCTGCCCGATTGTCACGGACGATTGCTCACGGGTGAACCCGGAGGCCAGGCAGGTCCTGCCGGACCACATCGCCGCCTGCATCAACGTGCCGGGGTACGGACCCTACTGATCCCGGCCACAATACCTCAGATATTCACCCGGGACGGCGAACGCCATCCCGGGTTTTTGACGCCACGGCTCCAGATGTTATCTTGATGTTGGAGATAAGTACCATGTGGGATCGGATATACATTTTGTCGATGGTGGTTTTTTTCGTCGGTATGGTGGTGGTGCTGACGGGCGAGTTCGTGATGACTGATTGGGAACGAATTACCGCAGTTGTAGGAGGTTCAGTCGCCGGGCTTGCCGGAATAGCCGGCGCAGTATCAGGGATAGTCCTGGTATTGACCACCGACTTCCGCACCTGATCGACCCCGCACCGGATCGACCCCGCACCGGATCGACCCCGCACCGGATCGACCCCGCACCGGATCGACCCCGCACCGGATCGACCCCGCACCGGATCGACCCCGCACCGGATCGACCCCGCACCGGATAGATGGACCTCTTCCCGTTAGCGGCTAAAGCGATATTGATAACCTTCTGTTTGGTGGTCACGGTATTGAGCATGGCGGCCCTGGTGGTGATTTTTGCTCGCTTGGATGTGGACCTTCTTGATGTTCTATATGTAATGGCGGCGCTCATCACGATTTCCGGCGCATTCATATCGCTGCTAAGATGGATGTCGCGACGAAGATAACAATTCAGACGAACACCCCGAGGACAGAAATGCGTTTGGACAACAAGACTGCTCTGATCACCGGCGCGAGCCGCAACATCGGCGCCGAAATCGCGCGTACCTTCGCCCGCGAGGGCGCCAACCTGATCCTGAACACCCGACAGTCCGCCGAGGAACTGGAGGCGGTGGCGGCCGAGTGCCGCGAACTGGGCGCCCAGACTCATACCGTGATCGGTGACGTGGCCGATCCGGACCGCGTTGCTGACATGGTTGCCGAGGGCATTGACGCCCTGGGAACGGTGGACGTGCTGGTGAGCAACGTGGCGGTGCGCCCCCACAAACCCATCCTGGAAGTGACGGTGCAGGAGTGGCAGAGCGTGATGGCCACCAACCTGCACTCCGCGTTCTACCTGATTCACGCCGTCCTGCCGGGGATGATCGAGCAACGGTCCGGCAGCATCATCGGGCTGGGCGGACAGTCGGCCATCACCGGCCGGCCCGAAACAGCGATTGTGACCACCGCGAAGACCGGATTGCTCGGGCTGATCCGCGCCGTGGCCGCCGAGTGCGCCCAGTACGGGGTGCGCGCCAACCTGGTCAACCCGGGCTCCACCGACACGGCACGCGCCCACCCCGAGTGGTATCCGGAGTTCCAGGGAGTGGATCGCAACTCCAACGAGCACCTGCAATCGATACCGCTGGGACGTCAGGGCACCGTGCAGGACATCGCCAACGCCTGCCTCTTCTACGCCAGCGACGAATCGTCGTACATCACCGGCGACCGCATGAACGTGGTGGGTGGACGCTACATCGTGTAGCGTTAAGACAGGTAGAAACGTCGCGCAACCCGCCGCATGGGCTAACGTCCGTAAGCCTGCTCCAGTACGGCGTCCAGCTCTTCCCTGGTGTAGCGGTACTCCTGGGTGCCCGGCTGCTGGATGGCGAAATGAGCGCAGGCGGAACCGATTTGGGCGGCGCGCTCGAGCTGGCGGAGCGTGATGGAAGCGAAACTGCCGCCTTCATTGGCGTGAGCCGCGGTCACGGGGTGCATCAGGCCCAGGATCAGACCGCCGCGGAAAGCGTCTCCAGCGCCGGTTGGATCAACCACGTTATCGGTATGGACGGGCGGAACGATCACCTGCCCTTCGGGGATGCTGACGCGAACCCCCTGCTCGCCCAGGGTGGTAACCAGGACACCGGTCAGGTCCAGCAACCCGGCGTTGTCCCGGCCGGTTTTCTCCGCAATGAGGGCCATTTCGTAATCGTTGGCGATCAGCAGGTGTGAGTTGGCGATGCACGCGGCGAGTCCGTCGGCATCCCAAGCCGGGAGCGACTGGCCAGGATCGAAAATGGTGTAAATGCCCGCACGGTAGGCATCGGCGGAGAAGTCGGTCATGTCGGTCAGGTTGCCTGGGCTGACTATGTTGATGGTGTCGGCCGGATCCGCCTTGCCGAAGTCGAAGCCCGTGGCGTGCTTCATGGCTCCGGGATTGAACCCGGTGATCTGGTTGTCCGCGCTGTCGGTGACGATGAAGGCGGACGCCGTCGCCTCTTCGTTCACGATGCGGATATCGCCGGTCGCGATGCCGTTGTCCGCCAGCCAGGTGAAGTAGTCCCGGTAGTCGGAACCGATGGCGGCGACGATACGGGGTTCCTGTCCGAGCATGGCCAATGAGTAGGCAATGTTGCCGGCGGTCCCGCCGAAGAACGCATTGAAGCCTTCCACCGTAAAGCTGAGATTGATCTGGTGGATCCGCTCGGGGACGATGTGGTCGCCGAAGCGGCCATTGAAGGTCATGATGCGGTCTATGGCGAGAGAGCCTGAGACGAGTATCTGCATTGTGGCTAGTTCCTTTATCGGGGGATTGGAGCGAGTGGTCAGCAGCCCCATCGGCCTTCGATTTGGCCGGCGAACACTACGCGAGAGCCGGGGACGATGCTGTGGATTTCAGCCTGGCCGGAGTTGATCTCCAGAATGAAACGTACCGGGCCGGTGGACGGATAGCGCGGCAGTTGGTCGCGCGGGGTGTCCAGGGGCGGGTTCGGGACGTGGTCGGTCACGCCGTCGACGGTACAATCCGACCTGATCCATACCATGTCCAGCGGGAAATACATGTCCGGCATCCAGAAGGTACGTGGCTGGTCATCTTCGTAGACGAATAGCATGGCACGGTCGCCGGCCAATGATGGGCGGCCGGACAGGCCCTGAGATCGTTCCGCGCCGGAAACCGCCAGATCCGTCACGTAAACCGTGTCGCCGATGAACACCAGGGGAGCGTCGGGAAACGGTGTCGCCGTGGGCGCCGGCGTATTGGTGGGGGCGACAGTTGGCGTCCGCGTTGGCGTCGACGTGGGCATGGGCAGTGGGGTTGGGGTCGCCGTAGGGTCTGGCACAGCGGTTGCGGTGGGCGATGCCGGAGTAGCGAGCGATGCTGGAGTGGCGAGCCGGGTAGGCGTCGCTGCGGGAGCCGGCTGGACGGCGCACGCCAAAGCGGCGAGGGCCAGGACGATGCCCACCAAGCCCCGGGCGGTTGCCGCCCAGGCACCGTTCACGCGGAGACGCCACACCGGCTATTGGACTAACCCAACTCGGCCCGTATGTCGGTGATCCGCTGCTGCAGGGAGCGCAGCAGCAAGGCCGTCGGAGGCGGCGCGACGTGGGTGTAGCCCACGCCCATGGCCTGTAGTTCGGATGCCGACAGGGGGAATGCGGGATGGTTCATGGGCATGGACAACTTGGCGCCACCGGCGGCCTTGACCTCAGCGGCCAGTTCCTCCAGGCGGGCGCGGATGACCGGGCTCTGCGGGTCGCGAATACCCATGTACTCGGAGAAATCGGTGGGGCCGATGGACACCAGGTCGATGCCGGGCAGCTGTGCAATCTGGCCGATCTCGCTGATGCCCCGCTCGTCCTCGGTCATGACCGACAGGATGATGTTCTCGTTGGAGGTTCGGGTGTGCTCCTCCCAGCTTACGGTGCCGAATCGGGCGGCCCGGGTGCCGCCAGCGCCGCCGCGATGCCCCAGGGGAGCGTATCGCACAGCGTCCACCGCGCGCTTGGCCCCCTCGACGCCGTCGATATGAGGGATGATGATGCCTTGAGCGCCGGCATCCAGCAGGCGCAGGATGAGGTTCTCATCGTTGCCGGGAATGCGGATCATGGAGGTGACGCCCACCAGTTCCGCCGCCGCTATCATCTGCGAGATGATGCCGAGGTCGAAGGTGGTGTGTTCCATGTCGATGAACGCCGCGTCGAAGCCGGCCAGGCCGATGATCTCGACGACCTGGGGGTCGGCAAAGGTCACGTAGGTGCCCAGGGCGAGACGGTTCTCCCGCAGCGCGCGTCTTACTCGGTTTTCCTGCATTTGCGAATGCTCCTCTGGGGGATGGCGGCATGGAGACGACGTTCGCGGGCGTCAATCCGACGTTTCGTTGGCCGCTGGGGACTGTACAGGTTTCACGCCGTATTTGGCCAGAATGGCATCGACGAAGGGCTTGAGCACGTGTTCGGCCCGGTCGATACGAATGGCCACCGCTGAAGACGGAGCATGGTCGTCATCCTTGTCATAGTGGACGATGACGTCCTCGGCGATTTCCTCACCGACTTGGCTGGACTGTCCGTTCTCAATACGCAAAATTTGCCCTTTTGGGTCGTACTCGACACGCGCCGGAAGCGCCTGGTTCCACGGAATTTCATTCACGTGCTGGGCCACGGTCGTCCTCCATATCTTCTTGCCAAGTGCTTGTTGTGGTAAGCCGTCAAAAAGCGTCCTGTTTCCGGGTCGCCAATGAATACCACCATTATCCATTGCGAGGATTGCGGAACGCGACCAGTGATGATGGTGCGCCGCTCGCCGTCTGAGGTGCGTATTTCGTATCGCTCGAAAGGTTCGGCAATTACTTGCATGATCCATTCCGGCCTGATGCTGTCATGCCGTTCCAGGGCGGTGACCCCATGGCCGGCAACTTTTGGGAGACGCTCGAATGCCTGACGCAACGCCTCGACATCGTCATCCCTGCCTGGTGGTCCGGATCTGGAATGTTCTCCCGGGTCGCTGTTGGTGGCGGGATGTTCGTTTCCGTGCACTGCCTTCGGATGAGTTTCGGGGAAATGGCCTCTCCCCGGCTACGCCGCTGCACCGGTCAGTTCAGCAACCTGCGGCATCACCTTGTTGGCCAGCAGCCGGGTGGAATGCTCCCACGCGGCGTTGTTCTCCGACTGGTCGTAAACCAGCATCAGGAGTCCGCCGAACCCGCCCACGTCGCCGTACAGCCGGTGGATCTTCTCGGCCACGGTGTCGGGGGAGCCGATCAGCCACAGGTGGTCCGCCATGTACTCGATGGTGACGGCCTCGTCGGGCACCTCGTCGTTGTGCTTGAAGACTTCATCAGGTCGAACTCACGGAACAGCGGCAGCAGGTAGTCGTGCCAAACGCGCCCCAGCATGCCGTTCAGCGCCAGGTCGCGGGCTTCCTCGTCGGTGTCCGCGACATACACGTCCCGAACCAGGCGCCAGTCGGCGCGCGACGGTGTCCGGCCGGTGCGCTGCGCCCCCTCCTCGATGGCTTCCCAGTGGCTGCGGCAATAATCGTTGTTCAGGGCCAGGCTCATGGGGATGAAGCCCCGCTCGCCGGCGATCATCAGCGTGGGCGACTTGTAGCTGAGCGATGCCACGCCGATGGGCGGATGGGGTTGCTGGTAGGGACGCAGGAAGAACTTCAGGGTGCCGTACATGGGCTCCGGAATGTTCACGTTCCAGTACTTGCCCTTGTACTCGAACGGACCGTCGTTCTGCCAGATCTTCAGTATGATGTCCAGCGATTCGCGGGTCATGTCCCGGTGCTCGCCGTTGTTACCGTCGACATCGAAAAGCGCCCAGTCGCTGGGGAGACCGCTGGCGCCGACGCCGAACAGGAACCGGCCCTGGGAAAGGTGGTCCAGGTAGGCCACGCGGTGGGCCAACTCGGCCGGATGGTGGAATGGAAGGAGGTGCGCGCCGGAGCCGAGCTTGATGCGCTTGGTCTTCATCAACGCCTGGGCGATCAGCAGGTCGGGCGCAGGAATGGGTTCCCAGGGCGAGGTGAAGTGCTCGCCGATCCAGGCTTCGTCGAAACCCAGTTCGTCGCATAGGGTCAGGTACTCCAGGTCCCACTGGTGAGCGTCATAGATGTTCCGTTCCGGCGGATGCGACGGCATCATGAACAGTCCGTACTTCATGGCTCCTCCCTGAACAACACGTAGGTACCGAGGGCCAGGCGGTTCTCCCGCAGCGCGCGCTTTACTCTGTTTTCCTGCATTAGGGATGCTCCTAGGATAGTGGAAACAATGATAGCAGATGGGGCAGGGCGCACACGTTCACACGGCTCAGGGTGGTGCGCTGTGGCAGCGGGTGCAGGGCGTCTAAGCGAAGGCCCCGGTCGAGCCGGGGCCGGCGAGATATCCAGTACGAGATACCCAGTAGAGGTTGGCGGCTAGGTGGCCGCGCCGGTCAGTTCAGCAACCTGCGGCATCACCTTGTTGGCCAGCAGCCGGGTGGAATGCTCCCACGCGGCGTTGTTCTCCGACTGGTCGTAAACCAGCATCAGGAGTCCGCCGAACCCGCCCACGTCGCCGTACAGCCGGTGGATCTTCTCGGCCACGGTGTCGGGGGAGCCGATCAGCCACAGGTGGTCCGCCATGTACTCGATGGTGACGGCCTCGTCGGGCACCTCGTCGTTGTGCTTGAAGACCTTCATCAGGTCGAACTCACGGAACAGCGGCAGCAGGTAGTCGTGCCAAACGCGCCCCAGCATGCCGTTCAGCGCCAGGTCGCGGGCTTCCTCGTCGGTGTCCGCGACATACACGTCCCGAACCAGGCGCCAGTCGGCGCGCGACGGTGTCCGGCCGGTGCGCTGCGCCCCCTCCTCGATGGCTTCCCAGTGGCTGCGGCAATAATCGTTGTTCAGGGCCAGGCTCATGGGGATGAAGCCGCGCTCGCCGGCGATCATCAGCGTGGGAGACTTGTAGCTGACGGACGCCACAGCGATCGGCGGATGCGGCTGCTGGTAGGGGCGCAGGAAGAACTTCAGGGTGCCGTACATGGGCTCCGGAATGTTCACGTTCCAGTACTTGCCCTTGTACTCGAAGGCCCGTCGTTCTCCCAGATCTTCAGGATGATGTCCAGGGATTCGCGCGTCATGTCCCGGTGTTCGCCGTTGTTGCCGTCGACGTCGAACAGCGCCCAGTCGCTGGGCAGGCCGCTGGCGCCCACGCCGAACAGGAAGCGCCCCTGGGAGATGTGGTCGAGGTATGCCACTCGGTGAGCCAGCTCGGCGGGGTGGTGGAACGGCAGCAGGTGCGCGCCGGAGCCCAGCTTGATGCGCTTCGTCTTCATCAACGCCTGGGCGATCAGCAGGTCGGGCGCCGGAATGGGCTCCCAGGGCGAGGTGAAATGTTCTCCGATCCAGGCTTCGTCAAAGCCCAACTCGTCGCACAGGGTCAGGTATTCCAGGTCCCACTGGTGGGCGTCGTAGATGTTCCGTTCCGGCGGATGCGACGGCATCATAAACAGTCCGTACTTCATGGCTCCTCCCTGAACCGTCTGCGCCCGGCAACCACGCCGGCCTCAGACCCTGTTGGTTGCCGTACCATAGCATAATTCAGGCATTATTGGTGTCCGTGCTATAGTGGCGCATTCAAATATGGATGGAGGCCAATTTGACCACAGCACAGACGGGCAACAAAGTCAGGGTTCATTACACCGGCCGGCTGGACGATGGCGAAGTATTCGACTCGTCGGAAGGCGGCACACCCATGGCCTTCACCATCGGGAGCGGTCAGGTGATACCGGGTTTCGAGAACGGTGTCACAGGAATGGCCGTCGGCGATACCAAGACCGTCCGGATCCCGTGCGTCGACGCCTACGGCGAGCACCATTCCGACGGCGTGATGCAGGTGCCGCGCGGCGAATTCCCTCCGGACATGCCCCTGGAAGTAGGCACGAGCGTGCAGGGGCAGCAGGAGAGCGGCCAAGAGGTGAGCTTCACCATAATGGCAGTCAGCGACGAGGCGGTCACGTTAGACGCCAATCACCCGCTGGCGGGCAAGGACCTGACCTTTGACCTGACGCTGGTGTCTATAGAAGGATAATTGAGCAGTTGGGGAGACCGTCCGTAATTGGAACCACGTTTCCCTTTCCCTGGGTTGGGTTGACCGTGTCCTGCGGTTGCCTCTCGCCGCAATTCCGGGAACTATTCGCGGTCACCCTTGCTATCCTGGCGACTGCGGTAGCGGCTGCGCTGTCCTTGGAGTTGGCTGCAGGAGATGACCCGCTGCTACGGAATGTGGCGCGCTACGCAACCGTTTGCCTTGATAATATCGGCGACCGTTGCGGTGAATGGTCATTATCGCGACGGCCCTGTTCTGTTACTTCGTTCCCGGCTGCGCGACGGCTGAGCAGCCAGGATCTGACCGACTTCCACAAGCCGGCCGCCGCGACGACGGACCAAAGAAGTGTGACCATAGAGAGCGCGAAAGAGCCCGATACCAACACGACGAATCGGTCCGTCGCGCAAATCCGATAATCGCAACCAGGAACGCTGCTGCAAGTCCAATTATAACCAGCCCGGTCAGGAACGGCGGCACGAGAGTTTCCGGGCCGATGGGTGCTTGCGCCGGTGCGGTTAGTGCAATCCCTTCATCTCGCGTTTCAGGCGTAGTCATGGCATCCCCTCGCACGCTTTAACTGTACCAGACTACACGCGCACCTGCTGCCCCAGCGTCTGGTAGGTGACCGGCGACGTGGCTACGAGGCCAGCGTCCACCGGAAGCACCACGCCGTTGACCCACCGGGCCTCGTCGCTGGCCAGGAACAGCGCCGCGTTGCCGATCGTCCCACGCCGTACCCTCCGTCCGGAGGGGAGCCGAAGAACTGCGAATCTGGCGCAGGTCGTCGTCCATACGCGGGGCGACCATGGGGGTGTACACCAGGCCCGGGGCGATGCAGTTGGTGCGGATGCCGTCGGGTCCGTGATCGGCGGCCATTGAGATGGTCAGGCCGATGACCGCTGCCTTGGACGCCGTGTACGGGGTGCTGCTGTGGGCGCGCAGCCCGGCGATGGACGAGATGTTGATGATGGACCCGCCGCCCGCCTCCATCATGCGCGGTATGGCGAACTTGCTGGCCATGACGATGGTCTTCACGTTCACGGCCATGATGTGGTCCCAATCTTCCTCGGACACCTCCACCACCGTGCCGCGCCGGGAAATGCCCACGTTGTTGTCCAGGATGTCCAGCCGGCCGTAACGTTCGATGCAGGTTTCCACCATGCGCTCGCAGTCGGCGGCTTTGGTCACGTCCGCCTGCGCGGTGGACGCCACGCCGCCCTCGGCCTGGATCATCTCCATCGTCTCGGCGGCGCGTTCCTCGGTGATGTCTACCAGCAGGACCTTGGCCCCTCCCGGGCGAACAGCATGGCGGTGGCTCGGCCGTTGCCACGCCCGGGCCGCTGGAGCCGGCTCCGGTTACGATCGCCACTTTTCCTTCCAGTCGCGGGCTGCGTTCAGGCACCGTTGCATCCTCCGTGTAGGTCGCCCTCATTCGGCGATAGGGGCGTGAAATATCCATAAACTCGCGCAAGTGTAGCACACCATCAGGACCAGCATGGGGAGTTGGCTGAGCAGCGCGCCCGCGTCGCGTCGGATAGATCCGCGTCGCCTGCACGTGCGCCAGGTACACGCCGGCGATGTGCCCAACCACAATGGCCAAAATCGAGAAATACCAGATGAACACCGGCGACAGGATGCCGATATTGATGATGGCGTCCGCCGTGCCGAACAGGTCCCAACCCCAGCCGAACGGGTCGGAAGCCAGAACGATGAACCGCTGGCCGTTGATGAGCAGGAACCCAGGAAGTGGCAAGTGGTAGGCCAGGGCGATGGGCAGCTAGAGAGAACGTGAACCGGCGCAGCAGTTGCCCCGGGTCCGGCTCGGTCTGGCCGGACAATGCGGCAATTGCCGCACAGGTCAAGGCAAACAGCAGACCAAAGACCACCGGCAGACCCAGCGCGCCGATCAGGTTGGCGATGTAGCCGCCGTACTGCGGGGACTGGAGCAGGAACTGGCCGGTGAACACCAGCCACTCGGGCGTCGCCGAAAGCCCGTCGAAGGAGACGGTGGACAGCAGCAGGATGACGTGGACCACCACGGTCAGCGTCACGACGCAGACGGTTCAGCCCCACGCACGGCGGGCCAGTTGAATTGCCGCTGCGCCGGGACGTCCCTGGCGTAGCACTCGTAGCAGTCCACGCAGTCGGACTCCTGACGAGCATCGTCCGTCGCTGGTAACCTTCGGCAGCGCGACGTTGACGAGCGCACCCACGTCACCGAGAAGCGTGCCATGAACCCATACACCACCGTGAACCCTCGGCGTTGCGCAGCCAGACCTCGCGCCGTACACGTACATGCCACGAAGTTGTATGCCGTGTAGAGCACGAGGACCAACCACACGCCCTACGGTCGCCGTGTCCGCCGCCACCGTCTCCAGTATGCGAAACGGCGAACACCAGCACACGCCGGCAGGCCAATCTAGCCGGATAGCGACGGTGCAGACCTCAAACGCTCCCCGGCGCCAGGGCTTCAAAGCGCGCTCAAGAAACCCCAAGCCGCCTTCAGGGATTGACCAGCGCCACAGTTGCCGAAGAGAGCGGTGCAGAAGCTCAGTCCTACCCAAAAAGCGACGTACGCAGTCGCGCTACGAAATAGCCGCGGGCGGCGTATATTGAGCGCTGTGGGCCACGCCATCGTGCAGATCAACGCGCCCCACGACAGTAAGGTCAACACACCGAACAGGGTTCAGCGTAGCGGTGAACGGCCGAAAGAGGCAAACAGCGCAACCCAAGGAGCCAATGAGAAAACGCAATATCCAAGGTTTTGGAGCAGAAGAAGAAAGGGAATGGTTCGATTCGCATTTTTTCCCCCCCCCCCCCCTTTTCTTGTTATCGCTTATTTTGTGTTATTTACAACGCGCCACGAAGAAGGCAAGGGCGCCCGCAGCGGCGACCCGGACGATCACGAACAGGGACAGCGGCCACCGGCAGATCGTATCGTCAGCAAGAACTGTGCCTCGAGGCCGT